GCACCAGAAGTTTTGTGCCTGACAAAGCCTGAATCTGTGCCTGACATTGTCTGTGACAGGTGCCTTATTTCCAGACTTATTGGTTTCGATTCCCCGGCTGTACGTGACAAGGAGTTGGGTCGCCTGTCCAACCTCGTGGGTTTTCTCCGAGTCCTCCGGTTTCCTTGCCACTGCTAAAGATCTCTACGCGCAACCAAATTATTGAAATAAAATTGAACCATATGTTAGTCCCGAAATAGTCTAGTTTGTTATTATATTGCTTTCTAGGATCGACGACCGCAAACGTCAATTTTTTATAAGTTATAATTATTTATTTATTCTTACATAAAAACCTAATATTTTTTCAAATTGAATTATGCATACCTTTGATAAGAATTGTGCTCAACTTTGAAGTTATAAAAGTCATCTCTTGGTGTGTGTATATGCATATTGTATACGTCATAATACATATTTTAATTATCCAATGTTCATTTTATTGCTACATACAGGTTTAAAAAGAAATATTAGATATAATAAAATGTCTGTGTTTTTTGTCCCCTGCCTTTCATCAAAGAAAGCAGGGGACTATTAATTAAAATTGGTCTGCCCGTCTGTATGTCTGTCTGTCACACTTTTTGGGACACAAAAACTTTCCTTATAATTGAGCTAGAATAATCAACACACACATTTAATTGCAAATATCCAAATAAAAACTAAAATATTTTACAATATAAATGTCCAACAAGGTCTTTATACTGCTATAGTCCAAAGATCACAAAGTAAGACTTCAATTTGAAAAATACTAAAATACACAGAGCACATTCATAGTGCTGCCAATGTGAGGCAACTACTTTATGGTGTGTTTTGTTCCAATCTATTAACTAGTTTAGAGGCATTTAGTTAAAATAAGAACAACAAACTATAACACATGAAGAGTCCAGGGGAAGAACGATCTAAGTCACATTTTTGTCTTTTCGCATAAAAGGCAAAACAGACTTTTGGACGAGAATGTTTGACGCCAAACAACGAGTGGGTTTAATTACAACTTCAAAATGATGTTTAATACGAATCATAATTACCAGTACAACAACTGACTTCAACTTTTCAGCCATATTAACGTCAAAATAAAGGTTACGATGGCACCATTAACTAGGGTTCATTGAAAAAGTGACTTAGATCGTTCTTCCCCGGAGCTCTTCACATACTTATGGAAGAACAATTACTGATTTATTTAGGCGACGTTTCGAAGAGTATTCTCTCAACGTTTTCAAGCAAGTGCAGTAACAAATTAATGCCAATCATCAATGGTCTCACTAATCCTTTATATGCACCTTGCCTTTGATCATGTAGTTTTCATGCCTTTGATCTTGTTGTTGTCATGCATGGTTTATGATTTGTTGTTATTGCTTGTCTATATATTTAATTGCCCTACACATTTGTTACTGTGGAGGGTTGGGATGTGCGACGCTTCGACCTCTACCTGGCCGGTCACCTCTGGCTTCCGGTTGTGGTTTCGATCCCTGGTGTGAACGTGTGTGGCTTCTCAACCTCGTGGGTTTACTCTGGTTTCCTCCCCGCAGCAAAGACCCCTGCGCGTGCGTTAAGATAATAAAAATGACAAATAAGGCTTAAATTGTTTGTTAATACACAAGAAATAGACACCGTAAATTGTTTGTTAATACACAAGAATTACTGCCCGTAATTTGTTTGTTTTGAGCGCATTTTAACATATTTTCTCATCTACGTTTTGGGTAGTTATTTGACATGTCAAAAATATTAAGTTTTCCTTTTAAAAAGATTTATTCAAGCGATATATGCATAACATTCACATATACCATATTATATTCGTGAATTTAATGTTCGCATACAGTCATTAATCATTTTGATTCATGTCTGACCTCAGACATAGTGCGGCGCTGTTTTTTGAAGATTTTTTGCCCCAGTTATTGTCGTAGGCCTGTGGTTAGACGCCCTATTCATGTTGTTAAGATGAATCTCGAGTTCAACAACAAAAAAACTACTGCCAAAGTGTCGGATGTTCGTCTTTGCTTCATATAAACTTGTACTTCGTAAAGATAGCCATCTGTCCAGCTCTGAATGACCTACATTTCAACCTCTTACATTCAGATGCAAGAAAACAGACAATTCAAAACTGTCAATATAAAGTTGTCCCGTCGAGATAATCATGGCTATCTTTCACAAAGTGCAACAATTCGTGCGTTTAAATCTCCGTAAAATAATTCTATGGTTGTTTTCAGCCTTGTACAAGTCAAGTGTATAACGTATAATCATTGTCTGTCCTAGCCAGCTTGTTTCAGGACATTTGGTAGTATTGGATGGTTGTAGGTTGTGCTGGACTGTACCATACCGCCACCCCCTCGGCATACCGCAACAAATAATACCACACCCATCTGTCCCCTGGGATTTTCTAGCGTGGTTTCCCGTTTTCGGGGTTGCCTGGCAGGGACAGAGGCTATTCGTAAAAGAACCCTTGACAGAATTCGATATAAGAGTAGGACGTTAAACCCCATTTCTGTCAGCTCTGCATTCTCTATTAATTCCTCCTTTCAAATATATATTTTAAAAAAAATGTCTCTAGTTTATCTATTTTATATATCTCGTTATAATTACAAATATACTCTAAAAAAAATTCATGTTTTGTATCTTAAGTATAGTGAGGGCATACACATTGGCACAGTCTGTTCTCAAATACAAATTCAGATATCTAGTGAATGAAAATATTGTTTATAAAGAAAATTAACACTTAGAACTATGTAGTGTTTTCGAAATAGTTTTAATTTATTGCAGGTCTTTTATGACAATAAGAACCGTTCTTCTTTAGCTGGAGTTATTAAATTTAACTCATTTTAACGCAGCATGGCGTTCTTCTCCTGCTGTAGTCATATACTTTAACTAATTTTTACCGCAGCTTGATGGTTTGCAGTAATTTTAGATTTAACAAAATTTGTCATTTTATGGCTATCGTCGACATGGGAATACGGTTCCATTTCCCTCAATCTAATTAAAATACAAATCTATATTTCGTTTCGTTTTTTATACTTTCGATGGCCTACATTACATGTAGCAAGTGCACTCGGCAAACCTCAACAGATTCCAGTACCCTACAGCTAATCTCGGCTGTATGACAAAGTCCGCCTTTAGAACTACTTTCAAGTTCCCGGATTACAATGGCGTTGTCCATGACGACCAATGACGTCATTGATGACGACGTATTTGAAGAATGTTTTATCTTACAAAATTTTCAAAGTTTGAAGCTGTTTTCTTTCAAGTTTATCCGATTTTCTTTAGACAAGGATAAATTTGCACTGAAAATTCTACACACTCTTCGAACGACGCAATTTTGAGAACTTCTTTCTAAACGCGGGCAAGTTTCCCTTATAAGTAAACCGGTGCCGCATCGCAAATGTATAGGCGTAGGTACATATCACTTACTGTCACACAGCCGAGGCTAGATGTAGGATACCGGAATCTGCCGAGGTTTGCCGAGTGGTAGCAAGTGTAGTAAAAACAAGTAAAATAGAAATTTTGAACTATAAAAACGAAACGAAATTGGATCTGTGTTTTAATCAGATTGCATGTCTCTTACCTAATTTCAGAATTGGTCTTATAAAATTGAAATTAAGATATTTTATATTTACTGATTATCGGTATTAGAATATATGTTTAAATTTCCTTGTTTCTAAACCCGATTTTTCATTTATCATTATAAACCTATAACGGCAAATCTCTTTGATCTTTGGGGTATATTCTATGCCCGCAATAACTTGAATATATATACAGGGGAATTTGGGGGTATTCTTCTGAAAGTTTTTCTTTAAACCTGTAACGGGTTATTCTTCCAGGGTAGTTTTTTTTCCATAAGAAAACATGATATAAGGTTTTTCTTTCTGGAATTTAGGGATATTGTCATTTTACGTACATGTAAACATAGACGGTTTATAAGCAAGCGACTTCGGTTATGCTGTGAAAGAAAGACTTCAGAAAAAACCCTCGAAAGAAAAACCTCGACCTACCAGCCTCAGTTTTTCTTTTTCTCGGGTTATTTTCTTCAGTCTTTCTTTCCCCATCATACCCTCAGTCTCGTGCTTTATCCTACACAGAAAGTATGATTTTAGCTAACATAAGAGCACTGCATAAAGCCATACTACAGCCCAGTCAGCTATTGCCTAGTTATTTCATCATGATTTTTTAAAACCACGTTTTATTATTAAAGCTGAGCATAATATAAACATTAACTATCAACTTTAATTCAGATTATTCAACGTGGCATGTTAAGAATGTTTGGGCTATCAAAGTTAATTGCTTACGGGTAGAAGAAAAAATAAAAACCTTCAATACAGCTCATCTCATCAGCCATTAAGCCTTTTTATTCCGTTAGTTATTTAGGAGATTTTATTCCTTTTCATTTATTTGTTTTTTTTTAAACTTGAAGGTAAAGCTTGAAATAGTTTAGAGTAATTGAATAAATCCAATTGCAGTCAGAGATACATATACTAAACATAGGTTATCCGCTTGAGAACAGACATTAAGCTAGTTGACCGACATTTTAAGTCCTAAATCGACGATTTTAGTCGAAAACACGAAGTATACTTCGAGAATTTTGTTGAATATTTATTGAAAAAGTTTATTTATTCTTTGTGTGTATGTCAGATGTGAAACGGAGTAGAAACGCATTACTAAACAGTATACTAATTTTTTGATATGGCGGCCATTTAGGGTAGAGATCTATTATCGATGAATGGAGGAGATGGATCCCTGTGTGCAGAATGTGAGAGGAAGGGGTATCACCATTTGTTTATTCATTCGCAAATGAGAAATTGTGTTCAAAAGAATTGAGTACGTAGCCATTTTAACAGACGGTTTCTGCGTACCCTGGGTTATCTTTACGAGAAATCCCATCTCTGTTTTTATCTAGGGAGATTATATTATGTCAACATCCCGTACACTGCTTGTTAATTATGATATATTAAATTAATTAGGAATTTTATTTGAAATTTCAGAGCTTCAGTGAGTGGAAGGTTGGAGGAAGTGGAAAGGTTCCGAGAGACAGGAATTGTAGAAATACGGTGCCAGCATTGCCAGAAAAGACAATCTCATACAAAGTGGACCAAAATCAAAATGTTGCGTGTTCTAGGACAGTGTGTGTTTTTTTTAATATTTATTGCCACCTGTGCTGGACTTATTTTAAACAAAACTCTAGATACAGATTATGATATTTCACATGAACATGTCGACCAGTATATAGACTCAGATATATTAATGGTAAGTAAACATTTGGCATTGTTGGCTGATCTGACTACTTTTTTAGGCGGCCCTTTTTATACAAAGATAACTAACCCTAACCCTAACCCATAAGACTAAAAGGGGGGGGGGGAGAGCCTGCACGCGAATGAGGGCCGGTGGGTTAGTTAGGGTTAAAAGAGAAGAAAAACAGAAATGAAAAGATGAATGAAAAAAGTTGTCAGATCAACCAACAGAGCCTTACATTTAAATCCTGTCTTTTGCTATTTGATAATAATAGTCATATACTATGGAAGACCAAACAGCTTATTATTCAGGGTTCTTAGTTCTTATTTTTGTTTTTGGAGAAATTTTTTGTAATATTTGTATTTGGAAATTTGTTGTTCGAGACTTGTTTTTCGTTGTATTTCTATCATGAAATGTAAATGTAGATTATTTTATTGATTTACAAAAATAAATTTTATCTTTTTATTAAAATACAATTAAATTAAACAAAAATACATTTTACAAATCTGATATGACAAATGTCTGATTTGTAAAACAAATATTGATTTTAAGATACAAATGTTAATTTTAATGAACAAATATCGAAATACGACAACAAATGAAGAACTAAGAACTAAGAACACTGAATAAAGAGCTGTTTAGTCTTCCATAATATACACTACCATTATCATGAGCCACATTCAGCCTCAACTGTACATTATATCATTGTTTTACCTTGGTCTGGGCTTAAAGGGGCGTTATGTGAGTTTAGATAAAGAGGTGACTATTCTCGCTATAATAGTTAAAAAAACCCAGATAACTTAAAGATACACTATGGGAGATTAAATAACTTAAAGGTACATTATGAGAGATTAGATAAAGAGTTGACTGTTCTCGCTATAAGTTTAAAAAATAGATAACGTAAATAGAATATGCTGAAAATTTCAGTCAAATTTATTCACTCTGAACCGAGATATTAGCTTTTGAATTTTAAGTATAGCCTCGATCATCATTATTAAAGTCGGTACGATAAAAACAAAGTCCCGATTATCCAATTATTGTTTTAAAATTATTTTTCAAAAAAATGTATTCCAATCCGCTAAATATCGCAGGCTAGCGGTGACATCGAGAGTTGAATATGGTCTGGATAAGTTAATTAATGTGTAATTAATGATTTAGATAACATTTCAGGCCTAAAGAAAGACCTGCAATAGGCAGATGTAGCTCTTGCATAATGTATGTTTAATTGCTTAATGCGGTGTTGTCTTGTGAACTGCAAAAAGTCAACTTTATATGAGTTTGATAATTATTTGAAATTACATTTGTGTACATATCATTATTAACCTGGGGCCTGTTTCACGAAATCTTAACTAAAGATAAAATCCAAATTTTAGTAGATACTTCAATTTTGATTGGCTAAGCACTAAAATCAATCTAATATTATCCAATCAAATTACTTAAATTTGGATTTTATCTTAGTTAAAATTTGGTGAACAGGCCCCTGAACACTAAGAAGAACGCCAAAAATCTATATATAAAAACTTTATGTTTAAAAAATTTGGGGAGAATTAAAGACACCTCTTTCCAATTAGTCTGGGAATCATGATGCATTCTTCCTCAACATTGAGAAGACTATTGGTAACAGGTGAACGGTATAAATAAAACAGCAACTATTCAGTAGAGGTGGTATAGTTTTAAAGATCTGCTTCTTTAGGCATAATTAGGTCATCTAGTCAATCCACGAAATATATGTTTATATGGAAGCATAGTTGTGGTGAACAGGAAACCCTGTTTATTGGCAAATTGGGGAGTAGGGGTGTGAGGAGGGGTGGCTGAATCATAAAGACTGTCATTGAGTTAACTGGTGTAGTTTCGATTCCCCGGCTGTACGTGACAAGGAGTAAGGTCGCCTGTCAATCATCGTGGGTTTTCTCCGGGTCCTCCGATTTCCTCCCACTGCTAAAGACCCCTACGCGCAAGCGAATTATTGAAATAAAATTGAACCATGTGTTAGTCCCGAAATGACCTAGTTTGTGTCTAGTGGACGTTAAACCCCATTTATCTCTCTTATTGGCAAACTATGTTCGCGCTGTACTTGTAAGTTGAATAGCACGTTATTCGTCGCCTTGCTCGTTGATTGCATTATAATAGTAGCAATGTTTAACGCTGAAGATTTGAAATGAGTTTTTTTGACGTGATGTCCCCTTGTCATTGGTGCAGGACGGGGGGCCTGATAAGGACAGCATACTAGTCATTCGGATGGGACGAAAACCCGAGGTCCCGTGTACACATTGGCGTGCACGTAAAAGATCCCTTGACAGTTGGAATTCGATAAACCATACAGTGTGCTATGAGGGACATTTTGCCCGGACAGCGGCACTATATATATATATATATAGTGCCGCTGTCCGGGCAAAATGTCCCTCATAGCGCCGCTGTCCGGGCAAAATGTCCCTCATAGCACACTGTATGGTTTATGTCCGTTTTCATTAGCCGAGCCGGAGCAGAACAGTAGAACGTTAAACCCCATTTCATTTAATTTCATTTTTCAAATGAGCTGATATATTTATTTCACCAAATATGTTTTCCCGGTAATTTCAATGTATTTACTGTTCAATGTTTAGAATGTCATCAAATTTTACGGGTCTCAATTTATGCTGACAAACGGTATATATTTTATACGACCACTGGATCGTACCGTTACAATGTGCAGTAAATGACATTTTTTAACTACATGTTTATACAATAAAACTCAGTCGGTTTTATATTGGATAATAATTATATAAACTTACTTAATATAGATTTTGTGTAACGCTATTATAGTGATAATAAAATATCAGTTTTGTAAATAGAACATTTTATTTAAAGATACATTATGGGGGATTTTAATAGAGAGTTGGATTTGTGCTTGTTGTGTAAATAAAGATCTAATTTATAATTTCTATGACATCTGAAGCCTCAATAAAGACTTGCAATAATCAGGTTTAGCTCTTGCATAATGTATATTTAAATCAGGAACAAGAATATAAATCAGGGGCCTGTTTCACGAAATTTTAATTAAGATAAAATCCAAATTTTAGTAATTTGATTAGATAATATTAGATAGATTTTAGTGCTAAGCCAATCAATATTGAAGTAGCTACTAAAATTTGGATTTTATCTTTAGTTAAGATTTCGTGAAACAGGCCCCAGGAACATAAATACACCAGGAACTTAAACTAAACAGGAACATAAATAAAAAAGGAAATAAACTACACCAGGAAACAATAACATTAACATGGTACATTAATAGACAACCATTCTCCGCCTCTGCCACGACAGCGGCTGAACTCGGGTGAGTCCATTCACCGGCTAGGTTCTACACGTGGGATTAATTACAATCTGATTAAAACACAAATCCTATTTCGTTTCGTTTTTATAGTTCAAAATTTCGTTTTACTTGTCTTTACTACACTAGGATCTGGAAGAGTTGTTATTTAACTCGTGTTCTGAATGATGTCAGGAATAAACCAATGAAACGGTCTGTTACGGCGAGCTTTAGGCGTGTTTATCACGGAACTGTGGGTAATCCACTAGTAATATCAATGCTGATTGGTTAATCAAATGTCTGACGTCATAGGGTCATAAGTCGGTCTTTTGACCCCTGACGTGACATATCGCTATAACTTGTCAGATCTTCATGTAGTGTAGGCTATCGAAAATATAAAAAAACGAAACGAAATATAGATCTATATTTTAATCAGATTGGATTAATTAATTCTGTAATTCTAACACAGCGGAAGACAATATTTGTAGAGCTGAAAAAATAATATCATATACATGTATTATCAAAACCAACTGGAGATCAATAAGCACAATGCATCTAAATAATAGTTCAATTTGATGAAAGTTATAGAGCACTTTGTCACATTTGTCGCCTGTCGAATTGACAACTAAGGTACTTAAATTTTAAGACCAGTTGAATTAGTGTAAAGCAAAATAAAACCAAGTACGAACAATCCAAACCATTAGTCCTAAAAAAAAACGGTATAGGCAAAATAGTGTAATAAGGCAAAATAGTAATTTTCGACGAATTTGTGAATATTCAGGGAATAAAGATTTACATAATGCAATAATTTTTGTTTTAATCTAGCTAGATTTTATTTTACAATGTCGGTTGATCAAGTGTTAAAGTAGCTAAGTCTCATCCAAAGTCTTCGATATTAAAAACACGAATTATTTGCCAATTTAAATCATCTTTGATGTTATGATCTTACCGGGAAAAGATAGGCCTCTGATATCCAATATTTAAGACAAAATAAACATTTTACCATTGGTACACGAATCGTGTTCCATAATGCGTTTCAGCACCATTTGTAACAAGGGACTCGAAGAACGAGGCTAGACATATTTCACAAGTCATGTCGAACGGTGACGCCATATCCTTACCTGGAGAGCATGCCCAATAAATACTATCGGTGTAGACTGGAATAACAAGGCGCTAGAGGTTGCCATTCGATTGAGACTTCTGGCGTATTTCGCCGAACGTATGTGAAATTACAGTAAAAACGGAAACAATTGAATGTAAATCAGTTTATATACATTCATATTACATTATTATATGCGTTGCGACCCGTTTGTGTCGATTTCTAGTTCCCAAATATTAGCGATTTGGCTCCTTTTAGTTCAATTATACCATTTTACTTTTAGCTATGAGATTATTCAGTCACGGTTAGGAAACGATTTGAAATTCTAAACAATTAAATTTGCGGATTTTTTTTTTGTTGATAATAGCATTGTGGTTTCCATTCAAATCTCGCCCGTCTAAACATCCTCAATGAAATATTCTTTTTAAGATATAAAAAAAACGAAGGTTTATTATACATTATCTGATTAATTTGATGAATATTATTCATTTTGTTCGTAAACATATTCTGTTACATGGACGTTTTTATACGAAAAACATAATGTTGTGGACGTATTAAGGTGTACGCCCCAATAAACAGATGCTTTATTTAATATTGTTTCTTTGATTCGCTATAAACACTTAAATTTCAGGTTATACCGACTTTATTGTCAATTTTACCCGTTTATACAAATAAGATTATAAATAGTTTCTTTACGAAAAGAGAAGATTTATAAGACTGATTAAAATCTAGCGTTTTTTTAAACTGTTAACGGCGTTTGTGGAATATTTGATATTTACATCAGTCAACATGTCTGTCTTATCGTGAACGTTTGTAAATTTATCAACGTATATGTAACAGGTATACAAAGTGCAAGTAAATAAATCCCTCCATTAAAGACACGGTCCTAAACATTATAAAACAAGTGCACACACATAGGGAAACATTGGAATTGTTTTGTTTATAGGGACATGTCCCTCCATTAAAGACACGGTCCTAAACATTATAAATAACGAGTTTACATAGAAAACATTGGATTTGTTTTGTTTATAGGGGTATGTCCCGTCGATTCACTGGACCTTATATAATATTGACACGGGGACAAATTGGTAGCATAAATGCACGCAAAAATGACTAGACGTCCTTCAATATTTAAGTTTGACTTCAATCAAAGACGTTTATACCTCCTTTAAGTTAACAGGGAGGTTGGATGGCCGAATGGTTAGCAGGTGTGCGCTGTATCATAAGGTCTGTTATTGAGTCAGCTGGCGTGGTTTCGATTAGAGTCGCCTGTCCAACTTCGTGGGTTTTCTTCTGGTCCTCCATTTTCTTCCCAAGCGAATTATTGAAATAAAATTGAACCATGTGTTAGTCCCGAAATGACCTAGTTTGTGTTGAGTGGACGTTAAAAAAACCCATTAAGATAGACTAAATAGGCTGACAGTAACAGACTGTATAACTCAGTAAACATTCTGTTAAAATTTACTGCATCATTGCTTTAAAACGTAGCAGGGGATGTTGTTAGGCCTAATGGTATGTTTCATTTAATTTAACCTTCCTATCAATGTCAGTTTCTTTTTATCCACATTTTCCATAGAATTTGATCACTGCTGTTTTATCTGGCAATCCGGTTCAGCGTTGGGTCAAAATACAGAAAATTTAAACCACCACGTGATATTTATCGTCTGCTACTTCTGATTCATATTTCAAAGTTTATCAAATGCATGCTTGTTTTCTTTGAAAATCTAATATCTAAGTTTTCTGTAATAATTTTATATTTTGATATACTTTCAGGACGTGCAATTAAATCCGGTGACATTATCAGATTTTAGAAAAACTGTTCGTGGTGCAAGTAATCCGTATGATTTAATACGAATATTCTTAAAGGAGAAAGACATTTCAGATAATCAGATCCATGAACTTTTAACAGCTAAAACAATAGAGACACTGTTAACGGGAAAACGAGAGATTAAACGCCAAGATGAATATTATGATTACGATACTGAAAAAATGTTGTCTTCGGGAACCAATCAAATGGAAGAAGGTAATTATTACTGTGTGTATTCATTTGTTAATTTGTCTTTTGTACATGGGAGCCACGGTGGCTAAGTGGGTAAGACGCTGGCTCGCTAGCCTGGAGGTCGCGGGTTCGATACCTGCATTGGCAGAGAAAGTTCATCGGGATGATTTCCGCTTGTCAGTGGTGCAGGACGGGGGGCCTGACAAGGACAGCTGTCTAGTCATTTGGATGAGACGAAAAACCGAGGTTCCATGTATACATTGACGTGCACGTAAAAGATCCCTCGGCAGTTGGATATAAGAGTAGGCCATAATGCCGCTGCCCGGGCAAAATTTTCCTCATAGCACAAGGTCTTCATTATCTCAGTTGGAGCAGAACAGTAGGGCGTTAAACCCCATTTCATTTTTTCATTTCTTTTGTACATTGTGATTTTCAGCCCAGTAGAAAACCAGAGTCCGCCCCTTTAGACAAAATTTAAAAGATTTCATAAAAAATGGACAAAAATTATGAATAAATAAAACTGACTAAAACAGTTCTTGTTGGTGATTAGTAGGACCGTTTTTGTCCCAATTATGATTATTCCTAATTTTTTCAATTTTTTATGAAATCCTTCAAAATTTGGATATGATTTACAGACTATGCATATTTATTTCATATGAAGAGTCCAGGGGAAGAAAGATCTTAGTCACACTTTCGTCTTTTCGCATAAAAGGCAAACAGACTTTTGGACGAGAATGCTTGACGCGAACAGAACAACGAATGGGTTTAATTACAAGTTCAAAATGATGTTTAATACGAATCATTATTACCAGTACAATAACTGACTTCCACTTTTCAGCCAAATTAAGTTCAAATAAAGGATACGATGGACTTTTTTTCCAGGGAGGACTTTTCGAAGGGCTTTGGTTCGATGTGACTCAGATCGTTTTTACCTGAAATTGATTGTTCCACAGAAAGCTTGTACAATTTGCTACCAGATGGCGCCATTAACTGGGGTTCGTTGAAAAAGTGACTTAGATCGTTCTACCCCAGGGCTCTTCATATCTTTGCTTGTCGGTCACTTTATGCAATATCTTCACCGCTGCTGACCATCCGCTCTTGTTCGGTTCTTGGTGGTTTTTATCGTTGTTTAGTACAACCACTTATTACAAATTGGAACTGCAGAATGACAACAGTGGGTCCAGGGTTTCCAACCACTTTACAAGCAGCTGACAACCAGAATTGTTACGTAAGAGTCGTGTCTGTCTGAATCGACTCACGTTAAAGCCGGGTTCCCACTACACGATTCCCGCTACGATTGAAATCGTGGTGATCCTATCAGGTCTTATCATATATTGAGGTCAGTCGTAGCCAATCGTGTTGATCTTGTCAAAACGAATCCGATACGTATCCGCACGTACCAGATCGTGAACTCAATAGGGACAACCCTATTGTAACGCATTGCACGACAGTGTGAACCTAGCATAAGTTGGATTGGAAAGATACAGTTCAGTTTCGTGTCAAATGTGTGAATATTTAGTTAGTAAAGCAACGCTTGTTTAGTTAGTTTATGTTTAAAGTAGCTAAGTCCGTAACTCAATATCATCCAAAATCTTCGACATTGAAAACACGATTTTTTTTTGCAATCTTACCTGAAAAAGATGGGCTTCTGATATCCAATATTTAAGACAAAATAAACATTTTACCATTGGTACACGAATCGTGTACCATAATGCGTTTCAGTGCCATTTGTAACAAGGTGCTCAAAGAATGAGACTAGACATATTCCACAAGTCATGTCAAACGGTGATATCATGTTCTTATTTGGAGGGCATGCGCAATAAATAATATTAGTGTTGACTGGAATAACCAGACGCTAGAAACTGACTTGCGGTTGAGACTTCTGGCGTATTTCGCCGAACATAACTGATGACAATTCACAGTAAAACGGACACGATTGAATGTAAAACAGTTTATATAAATTCATATTATATTATTATATGTGTTACGGCCCATTTCTGCCAATTTCTAGGTTCAAAATATTAGCGATTTAGCTCCTTTAAAATTAAAAAAATATCAGGACTTGCAATTATAAAATGCACATTTGTTTTTTGTTTGTAGAATTAGCTGAAGCCTACCATCACATTGATGAGATGGAGACAAGCCGACTTGGTCAGTGTAAATATCCGCAACCAGAAATAGTTCACATAGAGGATGAAAATAACGAGAATAAGATGTATTTCCCAGAATGCACTGTTTTACACAGGTGTCGCAACGTCACTGGTTGCTGTGGAAACGCAACACAAGAATGTGGTCCAAAAACGATTAAAATTGTGACAAAAACATTTTTAGTATTAACAATAACTGACCCGACGTCTGGCTCAGTCCTTCCTCATAAAAACATGGTGATGTCCCTCCCGTTTGTTAACCATACCGAGTGTGGCTGCAAGGAAAGAAAAGGTCTTCCAGGGTAGGAACAATTATCAAATTTCATACGAATAAATGGTCTCAAAACCGGTCATTGTGCTGCCGAGAATACCGAACATATCAAAATGGCGATATAAGAGTAGGCCGTAGCGCCGCTGCCCGGGCAAATTTTCCCTCATAGCACACTGTATGGCGTGTGCCCGTCTTCATTAGCCCAGGTTAGGAGCAGAACAGTAGGACGTTTAACCCATTTCATTTCATTTCATTTCATTTCGGCACTTCAGCGAGTGAGGAACAACGTGTCGTCGTTCGGATTGTACACGTTGAGGAGGGATCCAGAGGGGGCGTTTGGGGGTCTACCCCACCCCCCTAAACCCCACACCTCCCTTGTCGGCTATATAAGAAAAATTGTAAAACAACACTTTTATGAGAAAATTGACAGGGCCATGCGATTTATCCTTTATCATCAGGCGGTGGAATAGGATTGACATTCAAAGCGTGAAATAATAATATAGACATGTGCGATACCACAATTAATGCTTTGCATCAATGAAATTGAATCACAATGTGAATTCATAATAAAAATTGACGTCAAACGGGGTGTTGGATTTCGCTTTTTAAAAAACACATAATGCGTGTATGTATGCCTACGTAATTGAGAGACGATGATGGCGTGATGCATTGTCAACTGTCAAATTTCCTTAACATGAACCTGGCAAACTCCCCTCCTGCAAAAATTCCCGGATCCGCCCTGCATCACAGTTATTATTATTATTATTATTAATTGCTGCAGGGCAAAATACGTATACCTGTTTTCATTAGCCCATTTGGTGCAGAGAAATTCATTCATTAATTAGAAATGTTGGGGATATTGTGTTGATTAGAGAGAAAACGGTTTGGTGTCTTTAAACTACAAAGAAATGTAAAATAACTGTTTTTTGTTTGATATCAGTGGCGTTTTAAATTACACGCTGGTACTCGAACGACTGTAGGCGCTTTAAGCAGGCATAATACGAAGATTATATACGTGAAATAAACTGAACAGTTAGTCATATTATTTGATATGTATACACCAAAAACCTTTCCATGGATGAACCTCCGACCCCCCTACGAATTATTTATCAACTGGTATCAATATTTTTAATCGATATGTTGTATTGTGTCGGAAACAACGTCCAACATTTACGGCGTGAGATGCACCTTTGGCAAGTTGATTAATTTAGATTTAGATTGAAGTCAGGGCCGTAACTAGCTCAGAGCAACCCCCCCCCCCCCCCTGCTATTATGTGCTTCAGCATGTACTATTACAGACACGCGACGGTACATCGCAGTAGACGCTTACGGCTGGCCCCCAGATCAATTCACTTGATTTGATATTTGTTTATTATTGTTTGCAATGTCTGTACCCTGTCTTGTTCGCAGGTTTATCTTGTAGATTTTTGTCTTGTGTGTAGTGTGGTCCCCCTGTACTTACTATTATAAAAGATATTTACAGCGGTAGACAATAGTTGAGATCTTACAGTATAGACTATATCTTTGTTTTTACAGCTGCCACCAAGAATGCCCGTCACCGTTTACCAAATTTCGTCCTGACGTAAAATGTGTATGTGATTGTTTAGAGGCACCTAACGAGGAGAATTATCTCTGTGAAAGTATGAAGGATGGATTAATACCGCTAGCAGAACGAGATTTAATGTAAGTTGGTTTGGAGTATTTGGACGGGGGAGCACCGAATGGTTAATGTATAGTTTTGAGTATTGAGGGGAGAGGGTGGGGGAGAATGGCTAACCATATCTTAGTCCCAAAATCACCTAGTTTGTGTCGAGTGGACATTAACACCCCCCCCCCCTCTCTGGATCGTGGCTTACTATTTCCAATTCCAACTGTCATGGATTTGTTGATGGGAAAATCATCATGGCGACTAAACACATTATTCTCGTCTGTTCCACATGTATTATTCCTGGCAGGAGATCGTCAATCTAATTATATATGATGATGCCAACCTTCACTTTTGGACAGTAGGAGGACCCAGAAAAGGTGTCGTTGATTTTGTTTTAGGGTTTTTGACCCTGTAACACCCGAATTGATTACATTTAGAGAGCAATTGGTCGGTTCCTTTAGTCGTTTGTTTTTAGTGACGTACTAGTCTATTTGGCAAGGAAGATCCGTAGTCTACTGGAGCCGCGGTGACTCGATGGGTAGAGCGTTGGCATGCTAACTATAAGGATATCTCGCGTATATTAATGTCAACTTTGAAAAGACGATTAATCGGCGATAATTTGTTTTCTCTTTTTCTTCAGATGCATTAAGACCGGACGATGCATGCCGCCATTATGCAATAATAAAAAGGGACAGTTTGACGTAAGAAGTGGTTTCTGTCCAGAATTAGAACCAGACGAGTTGGGGCTGAAAGGTTACATCCAGAAAACACCAACAAATACGAGTCATTATAAATCTGAAGAAAAAACAAATAACCATGTAGCAGTCGAAAAAATAAAAAAAAATAAGGCTGGTGACGAAACGGGCAAACATAAAGCAGACGATAAACCTAATAAAAGTAAAAATAAAAATAAAAACGGAAGTCGGAATAGAAAAGCGAAGAAACGCGGGAAATGAGATATAAGTGATGTATTATTAAGTGTACATTTTTCTACCTCTATATGCTCGACGATGTGTGATTGTTCCGGTCATTATCACTTCCGGAATAACGTGATCACATAATTGATGACGTGATCACATAATTGATGACGTGTTCAACGTACCTCTTTGACGTATACAGTGAATATGGTGGCCATCATCATCATAGTGAAGTACTAAGTATTTAAAAAAGAGCATAATATTAGGAAGAATATCAATGTAAAATAAGTATATTTTAGTGAAAAATGTAGATACAATGTATTTAAGTTATTAATGAGTGGTATAGATGGAAGGAATACATTTGACCACAGGGACTTGGTGTGCTGATTTCTAACTGGAATAACAATGAAGAGAATGTGTTACCATGTAGAAAGAGTCGCTCCGTAATCATATTAGAACACAACACCATGAATACAAGGGCATTCTCTTACATACCAACTCCCACACGTAGGATATACAATCGGCGATGGTCAAGTCCCTCTCTTGTCTTTTAGCGGACTGAATGAATACAAGGGCATTTTCCCAAGCGTAGGATCTACAATCGGCGATAGTCAAGTCCCTCTCTTGTCGTTTAGCTGATTGAATAAAGACGCACTGTTACGTGTTCTGCAAGAAGTCGAAAGTTTAGGGAAGAAACTACTGCTACCAATGGTGCTGGCAATACTACGCCCGGGGGCTGTATTCATGGCGATGGCGGGAATTACGAATATGACGATCGTGAATAAATATCTATTTTCGTGACTTATATCTGAATGTATATCGAGTATATTTATATATAAAGACTATACTATACCTCAATCAAGTTCATGCAATAATTTCCTGTATTATCCGTCGCACCTTGTTTATCTTATATATACTAGAATATAAGTTATAAATCAGCTACTATCCTCCCTGTGCATTTAAAACAAAGGAACTTGCCCATGACATGTATATTGTTTATCATAAAGGTACAGGATCACTTTGACGTGTTCTATGAGCCATCCAGCCACCCCCCACCCACACCCATTTGTTGACCCCCGCCTTTCGAGGAAAGCAGGGGACTATTAAAATGGGTCTGTCTGTCCGTCTGTCAGTCACAATTTTTGGGACATTTGGGACACTATAACTCCTCTTCTAATTGAGATAGAGTGTTCAAACTTGGTGTAGGTGTTTATTAAGTGAATGCCTTTTATGGAGTTCGAAGATGATCATTTTGTGCTTTAGGTAAGCAAATATAAGCAGTTTAACTGGTTGATGCTTTGGGACACCATAACTTTACTTCTAATTATGTGAGAGTGATGAAACTTTGTGTATAGTTTCATTACATCAATATCTTGACTAAGTTCGATAATGAGCATTTTCTGCTCAGGTTAAACAGAGATAAGCAATTTGATTGGTCGAGACTTTGGAACACAATAACTCTCCTTCTTATAGAAGTAGAATGTTCAATCTTGGTGTAGGTGTTTATTCGGTCAATGTCCCGATGGAGTTCGAAGATGAGCAATTTCTGCATAGGGTAAGCAGAGATAAGCAATTGGATTTGTTGATGCTTTGGGACACGATAACTTTAGTTCTAATTAAGTGTATAGATTCGTCACATCCACACCTTCGTTAATGGGCATTTTTTGCCCAGGGTATAGCAGAGCGATATTCAATTTGATTGGTTGAGACTTTGGAGGTCGACAACTTTGGTTCTAATTGCGTGATAGTGGTGAAACTTCGTATATAGTTACATTATATCAATACCGTACTTAGGCAAAGTAGGGGGGCGGGGCGAATGGTTAGCATGTGCGCACTGTATCATAAGGTCTGTCATTGAGTCAACCGGCGTGGTTTCGAATCCCCAGTTGTACGTGACAAGGAGTAGGGTCGCCTGTCCAACTTCGCGGGTTTTCTCTGGGCCCTCCGGTTTCACCCCACTGCTAAAGACCCCTAAGCGCAAGCGAATTATTGAAATAAAATTAAACCATATGTTAGTCCCGAAATGACCTAGTTTGTATCGAGACTTTGGAACGCAATAACTCCCCTTTTGATTTGGGTAGAATATTCAAACTTGCTGTAGGTGTTTATTAGGCGAATGCCTTGACCCAGTTTGATCATGAGCATTTTCCACGTAGGCTAAACAGAGATAAGCAATTTGATTGGTTGAGACCATGGAACGCGACAACTTTGGTTCTAGTTGGGTGAGAGCGATGAAACCACGTGTATAGATTCATTATAACAACACCTTGACTAAGTTCGATGACGAGAATTTTCTGCTTAGGCTAAGTAGCGATAAGCAATTTGATTGGTCAAGACTTCAGAACATAACAACTCTGCTTTTAATTGAGGTAGAATGTTTAAAGTTGATGTAGATGTTCATTAGGTGAATGTCTTGACTGAGTTCAATGATTAACAACTCCCACTTAAGCAGTAGCGGGTCTAGAAGCTGTGAATAGGGAGGGGGGGGGTCTAAATGTAGGGCACCATCCACAATCCCACCCCAGAATGAATGCCAAGAAACTACTGACTATAACATTGTCTGGGCGGTTCGCTATAACACTGTCTGGGCGGTTCGCTATAACCGCGAATATGGTGGAGATGAGATAGTATAAGACCACAGAGGAGTAGGCGCGAAAACATTTCAGATAGCAACGTATAATATGTAATTAAGCTTTTAATTTTTTGGGACTGGGCCTAAATTTTCTGGCATTTGAGTTCATTTATGGGAGCAAATTCGTTTGAACTAGGGAATAAGAAATGGGACAGAATCTCGAGGTATGCATGTTAATTCCGTCTGTTTTGTGAAAGTTGACAGAACATTTGTACAGTCTGTTGCTCCATGGCCCACTCACCAGTTCTACTACTAACTGGGCGATTCACTATATAGATAGATATATAAGATTCATTTGAACTAGGGAATAAGAAATGAGACAGAATCTTGAGGTATACATGTTAATTCCGTCTGTTTTGTGAGAGTTGACAGAACTACAGTTTGTCACCCCACGACCTACTCACTAGTTCTACTACTAACTGGGTGATTCACTATAACCGTGAATAGATAGATAAGATGTTTATTGTATCAAAACGTCCATTAAGACATGTATACATATACACTTAGACATTTAATAATACATAGACAACACATTCATGAACACACAGGTAATATGAGAGCGTATAAGACCACAAATCAGGAGTGGAAGAATGATACATAATGGAATAGAGCACCGTAGGCGCGAAAGAGAGGGAGAGAAATGGGGCTTAACGTCCACTCGACACAAACTAGGTCATTTCGGGACTAACATATGGTTCAATTATATTTCAATAATTTGTTTGCACGTAGGGGTCCTTAGCAGTGGGAGGAAACGGGAGGACCCGGAGAAAACCCACGAGGTGGGTACAGTTGACTTAATGACAGACTTTATGATACAGCGCGCACGCGCTAACCATTCGGCCATGCCCCCCACCCCCACATGTTTTAAAAAAAATTCCGTACCTGATGGCATCATATTATTAACACAGGTAGAAGTGTCACTCAATAAAGAAGCTTTTAAAATCTACTAAATCCGAAACATTTTTAATAGAACAGATCAAAGTCATTATGCCTTCAAATATGTATATATATATACCCATTGTAAATTGGCATATATATATATATATACATTTATTTACAAACAGAGATGTTTTATTTGGTTAAAGTATTAAATTAAAAGTACATCGAATAAATGTATAGACATGTTAGTTGATATATTAAAGATGTTTACTATTTATTTATGACATTGTTATGTGTATTAATTGATGTATATAATATAATGTTAGATTTATATATAGACAAGACGACTGGCTATTAATAAAGCCTACTCGTATGTATACATAAAAATATCGAAATAAACTGTCTTAATTATAGTCTGCTTTTTATACGCCCACATTGATATATGGTCGTAAATTGTCGTCGCCCCCATCCGTCCGTCCGGCGTCCACAATTGCTTAAGTTAAAATCTGATTGACTTGAAATTTATACACAATGTTTAAGGCCATGAGACGAACAGACCTACTGATTTTCAGCGATTTCCGATAGTTATTGCCAGGTTTATGGTCCTTGATCTCTTTGAAATATCTTGTGGACGCTCTAGAGGCTAAAACTCAATTTCATTCATTTATTCACTCTAGAGGCCAAAGTTAATATAAATTGTTTAAGGTCACGAGACAAACAATCGGAACAAATTCTAATGTTTTCTGCTATGTACTTAAGGGTTATTACTCGTAATCAGATTTCCATGTGCTGTAAATGTTCTAATTACTGACAAAAGAAAAATTATGCGACAACACTTGTTGACCGCCCAGACGACTTAGCTGCGATGGACGTATGTTTCGTTGCCTGGCAACCTATCTTTATAAAAAAAGGAAACTTTGGGACGAGCTTTCTCTGAATTCCTGGAAAAACCATGAATGCGTAGCAGCGGCCATAGGCGTATGAGTCGGGGGTGAGGTGGTGAAAAAATACAATTTTAGTGGATACAAAAGGAAAAACGTGAAACTTATTCCACCGCTCAAAATAAAGTGCCCGACCATTTTTACTGACCATTGTGTGTGTGTGTGTGTTGAAAAGGTTTTTTTCAATACACCACCAATCCTCTTTTAGCTTTAAAGAAATAGAGCGATGCGGTGGGCGGGGGGGGGGGGCATAGGCATGTCTCCTGTGCTGATTGTGGGTGTATCTTTCACTTATTTCAATGTCAATTCCCTCGTACAATACTAGGCGCGGTAGGAAAACATAACCGGATTGTTCAGGCTTAATTGGACACAGTCAGAGAACAGAACATAACGGGCGATATGAGCCCTGGCCCAAGTTCACAAAACATTCTCAAAATTGTTCGCCTTAATTAAAATATAGCCCTGTATAAAACTTTTGTTGTTTTAATGTATCAAATACATCAATAACAAACTATGTGTAAAGATTTGTATTTCTCATAAACAGTGATTGAAAGTGGAGCAAATTCTTTACTTAAGTCTGAGAATGCTTTGTAAATTTTCTCTAAGTTGAAATTAGAAAATAAGAAAGTATTTCATGTCCAAACTCTGTTTTTTTGGGGGGGGTTTCAATGTCGACAATGACATACATTTTCCCACAAATAAAGTCCTAACTTGCACAGATTCTTGAGAAGATTACTACAATGACATTTAGGAAGAAAAATATTCAAATTCTAGCATGGAATGAATGATATCTCCATGTTTATTTACATATATGGCATAACTTACACTTTTTCTGATTCCCAAAGGATTTGTATGGCCTTTCGCTATCTTTAAAGTTAGATGCATATTTTATTAGAGACGGTTAATTTGCGATATAAGCTTTATGGTGTAGCTATCGGATATCTAAGAAAGATTAATGACAAGGGGTTTTAATACGAGAAACTTGTTATTTTTTAGGTTTAATGGACTCGGTAAAGTCGTCTAAAGTTTGTCAACAAGCGGTAATAAATAAGTAACCTTATTCCATGGATTGTGAAGCAGAATTTAACAATAAAATGACACACTGTGTCCATGAGGAGTGTATGGGGCGTGGCCGAATGGTAAGCGCGTGTGCATTGTATCATAAGGTTTGTCACTAAGTTAACTGACCTGGTTTCTAATCCCCGGTTTCCTCCCACTACAAAAGACCCCTACGCACAAGCGAATTATTGAAATAAAATTGAACCATATGTTAGTCCCGAAATGACCTTGTGTCGAGTTGACATTGAACACACACACACTCTCTCTCTCTCGCTCTCTCTCTCTCTCTCTCTCTCTTTCTCTCTCCATGAGAAATGGAAACCCTTACATACTCTCTTGATTGTCTTGTTATTCCCTGAAATATTGTAAATCGTGTAATGTGATGCAGATGGCAGAGTTTACATTTAATTGAACTGAACTTAGAAAAAGGAAACTTCTGTTAACAAATAAATTTTCGACCATGTGAAGAATTTGCATTTTTAGAAAATCTGATCTCCAGAGAATGCTATACAGTAATCAGCAACTTCCGCCGTATTGAATGTTAGCTCTCAAGAGGCCGTTGACAAAAGAAAGTAGTAATCATACGTCACATCCGACTGTAAACATTATCCACCATGTTCCCTGATCCCAAGGCCGAGCGCCAACTGTCGACAATAACTGCCAAAATTTAATAACCACAGCTACCGTACTGTAAATAGTCCATTGTGACAAATAACAAGTAAAGTGTTATATTTAATAACCATATCTACCGGACTGTAAATAGTCCATTGTGAAAAATAACAAGTAAACTGTTATATTTAAACATGCATTATGCAAAAGCAAAATCGGCCTATTGTAGGTCTTTCTTTAGGCCTGAAATGTTATAAAAACTATTAATTAGACATTAATTAACTTATCCAGACCCTAATCAGCTCTCGATGTCAAGGCTTGCCTGCGATATTTGTTGGATTACAGTCCGATTTGCAGCAAAACTTTCCTTCGTGATTAACGATTAAATGGATAATCAAGACTATTAGTTTTGTCTTATCGTCTTCAGTAATGATGATCGAGGCTAAGCGGAACTTTCATCCGCTTGGTTCTCGGTTCATAGTGGATCAATTTGACTGAAATTTTCAGCAAGTTGGCTTTACATTATCTAGTTTTTAACTATTATAGTGAGAACTGCCAGCTCTTTATCTTATCTCCCATAATGTATCTTTAAATAATTTAATATCAATAATAGATTGTAACTGTAGATCAAATGACCAAACTTGCTAATCAAAAGTTGATACTGCTAACCAATTGTCCACAGTTATTTTGTTCCCTGATTCCAAGGTCGAGCGCCATCTGTCGACCTTTAGGTGTGACATAGAAAAAGCTTGATTTCGCAGACGTTTAAAGTAATGAATAAAATTATATTTAACGTCCTACTTTTACTCACCGACCGGGCTAATACGTCATGCAGTGTGCTAATACGTCATGCAGTGTGCTAATACGTCATGCAGTGTGCTAATACGTCATGCAGTGTGCTAATACGTCATGCAGTGTGCTATTACGTCGTCACTTCCCCTGCCAACACATCCCCTATCGTCACTTCCCTTGTCGTCACTTCCCCTGTCGTCACTCCCCTTGTCATCACTTCTATTGCCAACCCTTCCCCTTTCGTCACTTCCCCTGCCAACACATCCCCTATCGTCACTTCCCTTGTCGTCACTTCCCCTGTCGTCACTCCCCTTGTCATCACTTCTATTGCCAACCCTTCCCCTTTCGTCACTTCCCCTGCCAACCCTTCCCCTGTCGTCACTCCCCTTGTCATCACTTCTATTGCCAACCCTTCCCCTGTCGTCACTTCCCCTGCCAACACATCCCCTATCGTCACTTCCCCTTTCGTCACTTCCCCTGCCAACCCTTCCCCTTTCGTCACTTCCCCTGCCAACACGTCCCCTGTCGTCACTTCCCCTGTCGTCACGTGTCATCACTTCTATTTAGTTATTTTGTTATCTTTATCTCTCGTGTCGAGAAATTTTATCTACAATCTGAATGAAATGATCCATTAATGCAAGAGTTTAATTGAAGATTTGAACTAGTATTTGGAAGATCATCTTTATCTGGACGCAACAAAAATATCGAATAAACTTCTACCTGAACGAAATCATACATTCAAAACCAAGTCGAACATATGATTGATCTTGATATGGTAGATTTTATTAACCTGTTATTTATACAGCTATATAAATACGACAAATGATAAAAAAACTTATGTTTAATATCTTGATTATAAAATAATGGACGGAATTATAATATTAAAATGAATTGTTTTAGATAAGAAGGCTGGCATAAATGGAAACCCATCAACTCAATAGATAAGTCGACTCTGGGGTAAATGATTGAAAAATCACAATTCTTGCGTACGTGATCGCAATACTCGCATCTTTAAATGTTTAAAATAATCAATGATTTTTTTTACCTCTATATAATCAAGGTCGTGATATACGAAAGTAGGCTACAGAAAATAAACCAATGTTCACGGACGGTCAACTGATTACAAATACACAATAACGTAGCGTCATTCTAAAGTTAGTGACAATACAGTTCATCTTTAATTGGCTTCTCCCTCGTCCTCTTCTTCAAATTCTCCTTCCTCTTCAGCTGTAGCATCCTGGTATTGTTGATATTCAGATACCAGATCATTCATGTTAGATTCGGCCTCCGTAAATTCCATCTCATCCATACCTTCACCAGTATACCAATGGAGGAAAGCCTTTCTTCTGAACATAGCTGAAAATTAGATAATGACGGTGTGATAAACATCGCCTTTGAAGAATACCAGCGGCTGCCTGGCAGGATACGCCCACATTTTCGACAGATGGAAAGAAAGTGATTTTTCCTGCAATCAAGGGCCATAATTCAGGAAATTACAATTCGATATGCGCGAATATTGAAAGGAAATGAGATCTTTGGGTTATAAACTTACATTTCAAGTTTCATAAAAATTGTGACCTCTATAGGGTCCACAACCTTGATATACCATATTTTTACGCTATTTGAGAACGAACGGCGGCCATTTTGTCTGTCAGTTTTGGGCCGATTGTCACGAAATTCGAACTCAACTGTCCTTAGGGTGTAACGGTGATATAATAATACGTTTCTTTAAATCGGATAAAAATTATGACCTCTATAGGGTCCACAAGCTAAAAACATGATTTTTCGTACAATCAGGCGCCATAATTCAGGAGGTTACGTTCCGATATGCGCGAATGTCGAAAGAAACCAAGATCTTTGGGTTATAAACTTACATTTCAAGTTTCATCAAAATAGGATTAAAATTGTGACCTCTATAAGGTCCACAACCTTGATATACCATATTTTTACGCTATTTGAGAACGAACGGCGGCCATTTTGTCTATCAATTTTGGGCCGATTTTCACGAAATTCGAACTCAGCCATCCTTAGGGTGTAACGGTGATATAATAATACGTTTTTTTTAAATCGGATAAAAATTATGACCTCTATAGGGTCCACAAGCTAAAAACGCGATTTTTCGTACAATCAGGGGCCATAATTCAGGAAGTTACGGTCCGATATGCGCGAATATCAAAAGAAACCGAGATCTTTGGGTTATAAACTTACATTTCAAGTTTTAAAAAAATCGGATAAAAATTGTGACCTCTATAGGGTTCACAAGCTAAAAACGTGATTTTTCGTACAATCAGGGGCCATAATCCATGAAGTTTCGATCAATCCTAACGCTTTTCAAAACAAATCTCAGAAAATGTGACCTGTAGAATGTTTACAATTGTTCAGTGGCAGGTCGAGTAACTCCGTGTAACGCGTAAAAAAACCTGATAAATTAAAACAAGTACTGACTCAGGGTATTATAAATTAAAACAAGTAGTGACTCAGTGTATTATAAAAATGTCAACAATAGGAAACAAATGGTGATTCAATGGACAGATAAGTACCATTTTTAACAATCGTTTTAATATACTACGACTTTTACTAGATATTTATCTTACTCCGCTGTTATATTCATACTTGATATTCTTTTCTAAAGGATACTTCACTGGGTGACTAAAACAGATAATTTATCTTACTCCTCTGTTATATCCATACTTAATATTATTTTCTAAAAGATACTGGAGGGGGTACTAAAACAGATAATTTATCTTAAAACAGATAATTTATCTTACTCCGCTGTTATATCCATACTTAATATTCTTTTCTAAAAGATACTGGAGGGGGTACTAAATCAGATAATTTATCTTACTCCTCTGTTATATCCATACTTAATATTTTTTCTCTAAATGATACTGGAGGAGGTGAGTAATGAGTAAGAAGGGGAGGGAGGGGGGGTGTCAATCTGGTTGTAAAAGTAGTGTTTGGAGACTGAAAGTCCTCAATATGGTATTATGGGTTTATATTAATATTAATCCCTACTGATAATCATAATCTAGAAACTACCCCCCCCCTCCACACACACACACACCCCACACACGCGCGCACAGAACACAGGTAGTTATACACACTGATCAGCAATGAATTTTCGCTAGGCCGCTACAATCACTGATAAGGATGACATCGACGCGACTTAAGGAGTCTCAAATATTAACTTTTTTCATGCGACAAATTAAATTCTACAACATTTTTTTTATGTATTGGAAAAATAAATAAAGGCGTTTGACGTATTTGTAGGTAAAAATTATTTCCTATTTAGTGTAAATGGGTATTTAAAATGTATTGGAAAAATAAATAAAGGCGTTTGACGTATTTGTAGGTAAAAATTATTTCCTATTTAGTGTAAATGGGTATTAAAATGACTAAAAGGCAGCATTCCGCCCGAAGCAGTAATGTCTTACGTAAACAATGCACGCGCCATTCAGCCAATGATTGACGCCGCGTGCTGTGACGGCACGTGTTAAGGCAGTCATCTTTGACAGAGATATTACTAGACTCGTAATTCTCTGTGAAACAGATTGGTAGTTATAATGTCGGTAGGACAACACTATTTATTAAGCGGTATAATAGACTAGAACCCAAATAAAAAGTTGGGCAACTTCACAATTGCGCCCACTCCCACCCCACCCGACCCGACCCGCCCCGACCCGCCCCCTGCTACATCACTACACCTGCCACTAGATTCAGCATTATACCTTTACAAAATTACAATTTTAAATACCTGTAAATTGTTCAGAGACTCGTTTGAACAGTTCTTGTATAGCTGTCGTATTACCGATAAATGTCGCGGACATTTTTAAACCCCTAGGTGGAATATCACAGACAGCTGTTTTTACGTTGTTGGGAATCCATTCAACAAAGTAGCTGCTGTTTTTATTCTGAACGTTCAACATCTGTTCATCAACCTCTACAATTGAAATAAAAAACATAAACTTTTTAAAATCAAATTGGGAGTGGGGGGGGGGGGTACGTGACACGAGGTAGGGTCGTCTGTCCAACCTCGTAATTCAGACCAAATGACTTCAACATGAAATATGCCGTCTGCAGTCGTTGGAATTCATTTAGCACCCGTAAAGGATCGTAAATTGGTGTTGACAATAACATCCACAATACAATTCAGAAACTTGCAAGTTATTTACAAACTATGAATACAAAAATATAATGTTTTCCAAAATGACAATAACTGCCAAAATGACAATAACTGCCAAAATTTAATAACCACAGCTACCGTACTGTAAATAGTCAATTGTGAAAAATAACAAGTAAAGTGTTATATTTAATAACCATATCTACCGGACTGTAAATAGTCCATTGTGACAAATAACAAGTAAACTGTTATATTTAACTAATTTAGTATATCCATAATAGATTGTAACAAGATCAAATAACCAACACCGCTAATCAATAGTTGATATTGCTAACCAATTGTTGACAGTTATTTTGTATTTTATTCCCTGAGTCCAAGGTCGAGCGCCACCTGTCGACGACCTTTAGGTGTTACACAGAAAAAGCTCGACTTCGCAGACATTTTAAAGTAATGAGTGAAATTATTTTTAACCCCTCTCTCTATCTCTCTCTCTTTCTCTCTCTCTCTCTCTCTCTCTCTCTCTCTCTCTCTCGTCTTTATACATGTAAATATGCCATCAGATTAAAATACAGATCTATATTTCTTTTCGTTTTATTTATTCTTTCGATGGTCTACACTATATGAAGATCTGACGGGTTGTAGTGGAAGGTCGCGTCAGGGGTTATACGAACAGCTTTTGACCCTATGACGTCAGACATTTGATTAACCATTCAGCGTTGGTGTTTCTAGTGGGTTACCCACAGTTTGGTGTACCTCACGCCAAAAACTCGCCGTAACAGACCGTTTCATTGGCTAATCTCTCATATCATCCAAAACTCGGGTTATATAACAACTCTTCCAGATCCCAGTGTAGTAAAGACAAGTAAAACGAAATTTTGAACTATAAAAACGAAACAAAATATTAAAATCAGATTGTTCTATTTGTGAAATGTAAAATTGCTATGGCTGTCAGGTAAGACGATCTACAACAATAAACTTTTAAGTGATGAAAGCTTCGATAAGTTCACCCACCATCTTGTGCTGTAATCAGGCCATTGTTACATTGGCCATTTCAAGTCTCCTACTATGTGTATACTATATTTACATAGACCATGCTCAAATTAGATTATATGTGCAATCTGAAACAATTTACCAATCCATAAACAAGTTTTAGCTTTAAATGTTTCAGTGGTTATCGACAAGTTTAATTAACTACACGTACAGCTTAGGTTTTAAATTGGTAATACCTTTCATAGACATACGTCCTCTGAAGAGAGTACTAACGGTCAGGTACCTGCCATGTCTAGGGTCACAGGCCGCCATCATGTTTTTGGCATCAAATACTTGTTGCGTCAGTTCAGGTACAGTAAGGGCACGGTATTGCTGAGAACCACGGGATGTGAGAGGAGCAAAGCCAGGCATGAAGAAATGTAACCGAGGAAACGGTACCATGTTTACAGCAATCTTCCTCAAATCGGCATTCAACTGACCTGAATAAAGAAATAAAACGATTATAATATACTGGGTATTCTTTCTAAATTTCAATTAATTAATCACTTATCTATCTATTTTGAGGGGGGGGTGACCGAATGGTTAGCACGTGCGCGCTGTATCATAAGGTCTGGCATTGAGTTAAAGTGGCGTGGTTTCGATTACCCGGTTTTACATGACAAGGAGTCAGGTCAGCTGTCCAACCTCATGGGTTTTCTCCGGGTCCTCCGATTTCCTCCCACTGCTAAAGACCCCTACGCGCAAGCGAATTATTGAAATACAATTGAACCATTTAGTGTAGGCCATCGAAAGTATAAAAAAAAGAACGAAACGAAAAATCTGTTTTTTAATCAGATTGTATTATTTTTAAAAAAAGAAGACTTTATGAACGTTTACCTGGAAAACGAAGACAGGTTGTAACGCCAGACATGGTAGCTGATATAAGATGGTTGAGATCCCCATAGGTGGGCGTGGTTAGTTTCAAGGTACGGAAACAAATATCATACAGAGCTTCGTTATCAATACAATATGTCTCGTCTGTATTCTCTACTAGTTGGTGAACTGATAAAGTGGCATTGTATGGTTCAACAACTGTATCTGATACCTGTAATATAAGATAAAGTGGCATTGTATGGTTCAACAACTGTATCGGATACCTGTAATATAAAGATAAGGTGACATTGTATGGTTCAACAACTGTATCTGATACCTGTAATATAAAGATGATGATAATAAACCAGCTTGTAGTGTTGGTGGTGGTGGTGACTGCCAGTTCCAGTGATAACATTGTCCAATGTCTCCATAAAACAACTCGTGAGTTGAACAAGCCCTGAGACACTATACAATTATTTAAGTTTCTATATTATCCATATGTATCATATGTTCTATATTTATGTATAGTATATATTTATAATGTGTACATGTATCTAAATCAAACAGGGGGGTTACAAATAGGCAGGCAGAGAGAGAGATAGAGAGGGGGAGAGAAATGGGGTTTAACAACAAACCAGGTCATTTCGAGACTAATATAGGCATAGCCTGTTCCCCAATCCAAATTCAGATTTAATGAATAAAATTGTCCAAACTTTCTTCTGTTTTGCGCGCTAAGGACGGTAAGGAGCGGAAAGGCTAGTGAATACAACAGGGAGAAAGATGTTGAGGCCAAGATATTTCTTCTCTACTTTCATTTCCCATCTGAATAAGTAGAATCCGTTTCCTTTCCAGCCCCTCGGGTCATCAGACCTTATAACAGGGTAATCAGGCTTCTGGCCAACCCCTCGGGTCATCAGACCAGGGTCTTTTAACATATCAGTTGATCAAATGTTTCAGAAACAAAATAAATATTTGCATTTTCATTTTCATTAAAATTGTAACTCCATCATGTGAGTATACTTTGACAATAACACAATCTAAAAAAACACAGATCCTATTTCGTTTAGATTTTTATAGTTCAAAATTTCGTTTTACTCGTGTTTACTTCACTAGGATCTGGAAGAGTTGTTATATTACCCGCGTTCTGGTTGAGTTGGGGATTAGCAAATGAAACGGTCTGTCACGGCGAGTTTTTGGCATGAGGTGCACGAATTATGGATATACTACTAGAAACATTAACGCTGGTTGGTAAATTAAATGTCTGGCGTCATAGGGTCATAAGTCGGTCTTTTGACCCCTGACGCGACCTTCACTACAACCGGTCAGATCGTCATGTAGTGTAGGCCATCGAAAGTATAAAAAACGAAACGAAATATGATCTGTATTTTAAACAGATTATTAAACAGATATGTAGAGAATATTACCTTTGGAGAAGGTACAACAGAGAAGGTGTTCATGATTCTATCTGGGTATTCCTCTCTGATCTTACTGATGAGCAGAGTTCCCATACCAGCTCCAGTACCTCCTCCTAGAGAATGAGTCAGCTGAAATCCCTGGATACAATCACAGCTTTCAGCTTCTTTCCGTACAACATCTAACGCTGAGTCTATTAATTCAGCTCCTTCTGTATAATGACCTTTAGCCCAATTATTACCAGCACCACTCTGACCTGAAATATTATCACAGAACATGGTTAAATGAATTTTTGAGAGTTTGACGCTTTTCTTTCTATACGCTAGGTTTCCACTGTCGCACGATGCGTTACAATAGGATTGTCTCTATCAGAGACTTTTGGCAAGCGGATTTGTCCCATCCGTATCCCGTATCCGTATCGTATACGTGATACGTTGCGTCAATGTAGTTTTAGAGTTTTGGCAGATTTTAGCAATTTTTGGTTTCACTAGTGTATTATTTCAGAAAGTTTAGCCCGTAGATCAATCAGTATGCAGACAGGCGGGAAAAATATGAAAATTCCGAGAAAAACCCATCAAAAATAATGATTAAATTCCAGTCGTTATCACTGTTAAAATCACATCAAATATACACCTTCGTGTTCTAGGATACACACAGATTCATAAAAACGGTATGATGCAATATTTCAGCGTCTAAAAGTAGCAAAAAAGACGGGAAAAAGACGACAGTGTTATACGGACCATTTCCGTATGAAAGCCGTTCGATACGTGCTGCCGTATCCATGTGCCGTATCACGTATGAGAAATACACAGACATTGATGACGTCACACGCAAAATCCATACGGATACGCGATACGGACCAGGAAATTAGGCTTGCCAAAAGTCTCTATTGAGTCCACGATCTGGTACGTGTAAATACGTTCGGATATATATACGGGACCTCGGTTTGTCGTCCCATACGAACGACTAGACAGCTGTCCTTTGTCAGGCCCTCCGGCCTGCACCACTGACAAAGGGAAATCACGTCGAAAAATCTCGACGAACTTACTTGGTCAATACAGAAAATCCCGAGGGACTTTTTTGGCCAACAATGGGATAGAGTGCTTACTAACTGAGACACTTCGGCTCCCGATAGATCGAGGAATGCTGAATATCGATAGCGTTCGTCTTTTCATGACCACATAATGTTTCACGCCAAATTTGAAAAAGAGTCCGATAAAAACTCTAGCCTCTGGCTTTTTCGACAAAGGAGGCATAGCTATATCGTGTATGTCCGTCTTCATTAGCAAAGTCGGTGCAGAAAAGTAGGACGTTAAACCTCATTTTATTTCATTTCCTCGGCTTTACATGACAGAGGTATGCCCATATGGCCGAAAACTTATAGTTTTAACGAATTGGGGTCACGATAGGGGTATGCATTGATAACAAGCGTTGCACGATGTTGCGGAGTGTAACCACCCACCCCAATTGCCGAAAACAGAAAACAGTTTAGAGAATTTTTCTTCAAATTTGATGTGAAACATTGGGGTAATGAGAGGGCGAAGACTTTAAATATTCAGAGTTATGCAACCTTCCGGAGTTATCTACCTTTTCAGATATCTTGAAGGCATAAAGGATCCTTAACTTAGTTTCCCTTTATAAGACATAGCTGGTGTGTGGGCGTATTTCAAGTTGTCTTTTAGGGTCAGCAGCTGTCAAGACCGAACTGGTGTGTGGGTGTATTTTAAGTTTAGCGTGACTATCTTTATATAAATGTTAAAGTTGGAACTTCCGCCTGATAAATGTTACAAACTGTGTTTTAACGCGGCACTTAGATAACTGGTCAAATATTAATTTGTTTACTAAAAGAACAGTTTTAAATGGGCTGTTTCAAGAAATTTAATTCTTCTTTCCGTAAATCTAGGCAATATATAGCTTACAAATATGGGTGGGGAGCCACGGTGACTAAGTGGGTAAGATGCTGGCTCGATAGCCTGGAGGTCGAGTGTTCGATCCCTGCATTGGTCGATAAAGTACATCGGGATTTTCCGACGTGGTTTCCCCTTGTCAGTTGTCTAGTCGTTCGGATGGGACGAAAAACCGAGGTCCCGTGTGTATATTGGCGTACACGTAAAATATCCCCTGGCAGTTGGAATTCGATATAAGAGTAGGTCATAGCGCCGCGGCCCTGGGAAAATTGTCTCATAGCACACTGTGTGGTGTATGGGTCTAACTGGTCGTAATAACATGCTACAACAGGACTGTTATCGTGTTAAGCCTACTTCTGGGTTGGCATATAGAGACCAGTACCAGACCCAGTCGTAGATCTTTAATAATGAACACCTAGTAGCTCCTTAACGGGATGATAGAGCTCGTCGTCACTGGTTCTGTGATATTAACCAATGTATATTTATTAAATTGCAGAAAGACCCTCGAGAAATTTGGCCTCGTAATTTAATCGCAGACAAATAAACAGGGTTTTTTTACATTCGCATTCATGTTAGCATTTAGCATTTTAATTTTGAGTTTGATATTAACTAACAGACTTATGAGGAGGCATACGCAAGGGCGTTACGGTTATCGGACAAAACATTTTGCGAAATTTCACAACATATCCATGTACAAATCCTTAGGACGTCGTAGAGTTTAAAGCTGCAATATGCTAGAAGATATTTTCCAAACTTAAAAGTATGTTAAATCATGTATTCAAATCCAGTAAATATTACAGGTTAGCGATGGCATCGAGAGTTGATTATAGTCTGGATAAGTTAATTAATGTCTAATTAATAATTTAGATAATATTTCAGGCCTAAAGAAAGACCTGCAATAGACATATTTAGCTCTTGCATAATGTATGTTTAAGTATTCAGCCTATATGGATTTATATTTGTTATTCATCTGGAGTATTCTGCCTTTAATTATGAAAAAAAAACGGAAATGGATGAATCACTTAGGTCACAATAATCAAAGTTAACACCAGTTGTGGCATTTATCATAAATACAGATGTTTTAATAATTATAATGTACAGGTATCATTATTTTGGAGCAAATGCAGGTGCATTTCCGGATGTTGTTTCTCCAAAAGATCAGACAGACATCAATCTGGTCGTGCATTTTTTTTAAAAAAAATAAAAAAACACAAATAAGTATGGGTTTTATCATATTTTTAAGTTTAATTTACGCAGTAATTTAAAGAAACCGAAACAATTCTATTTTTTCTTCCTTTTCTAGTGACGTGTGGTTTGTTCTAGACATGTACCATCTAATTTATTTGTTAAGTTCTTCTGATTAAAACATTTATCTGTTATATTGCATTTATAGACTGGAGATCACGTGGCTAAGTGGGTAAGATGCTGGCTCGCTAGTCTGGAGGTCGGGTGTTCGATCCCTGCATTGGCCAAGAAAGTTCATCCAGATTTTCCAGCGTGGTTTCCCCTTGTCAGTGATGCTGGGCGGAGGGCCTGACAAGGACAGCTGCTGCTGTCTAGTCGTTCGGATGGGACGAAAGACCGAGGTCCCGTGTACACGTAAAAGATCCCTTGGCAGTTGGAATTCGATATAAGAGTAGGCCGTAGTGCCCAGTTTAGGAGCAGAACAGTAGGACGTTAAACCCCATTTCATTTCATTTGCATTTATAGACAAAAGTAAAATTTCCAACCTCCAGCTCGAGTTATACATACCAAAAACAAAATTATCAGGTCTAAAAAGTTGTCCAAATGGTCCTGATCTAACTGAATCCATGGTTCCTGGTTCTAAATCTATTAATATAGATCTGGGCACATATTTACCACCTGAAAATACAAATATTATCAGATTAATTAGAGTTAAGTTTTTTTACAATTGGCACATGAAGAGGACGTTTTTTTTGTTTGTTTGTTTGTTTTTTTTAGGGGGGGGGGCGGTGTTTTTTGGGGTTTTTTGTGTGGGTGGGGGGGGGAAGTGAAAGTTAACGTGTACATGTAGAATACGAAGGAGACAGAATTCGCCAGGGCAGTCGTCTGGGTCTTGTCTTTAAACACGCAAATAAATCAATTTATACAGTGTTAGTGATACAGAGAGAGGGACACGGGGTTTAACGTCCACTCGACACACACTAGGTCATTTCTGGACTAACACATGGTACAATTTTATTTCAACAATTCGCTGGCGCGTATTGGTCTTTCTTAGCAGTGGGAGGAAACCGGAGAACCCGGAGAAAACCCACGAAATTGAACAGGCGACCAAACCCTTTGTCACGTACAATCGAGGAATCAAAACCACGTCAGCTGATTCAATAACAGACTAGGTCTATTCCAATTTAAAGTCTCCTGCTAGTGTATATATATTTTTGTAATATTTGGAATAATGTTAGATAGTATTATCATTTGGAAAATTGGGGAAGACATTAATTCTATTCGACATATTGCCTATTGGAAGTCGCGATTATTTATCCCTTATGTTATTCGAGTTGTGATCTCAAATGTTATGCAAGGGAGGTAACCATTAAAAAGCATGTTTCGTCAACACGTGTACTATACTAGGGATTGTTTTTTAAATGTATTGCCGTCTACCCTTCCCGCCTATATGCGTTTTGAACTCAGCAACCTATGTTAATCCTGCGAGTTGTTGGTCCACCCCGGATTCCAGACCGGGACAATCTAGTATGAGCAAGGGGGAGTGGTCCGATTTGGAACTCAGCACGTGTACTATACTAGGGATTGTTTTTTAAATGTATTGCCGTCTACCCTTCCCGCCTATATGCGTTTTGAACTCAGCAACCTATGTTAATCCTGCGAGTTGTTGGTCCACCCCGGATTCCAGACCGGGACAATCTAGTATGAGCAAGGGGGAGTGGTCCGATTTGGAACTCAGCAGCCTATGTTAATCCTGCGAGTTGTTTGTCCACCCCGGATTCCAGACCGGGACAATCTAGTATGATTATATATATCATTACCCGTAGCTTCATTATAATAAACATTGACTCTCTCTAGTTGTAGATCGGAATCACCGTGATATGTTCCTGTAGGGTCAATACCATGTTCATCTGATATCACTTCCCAGAACTAAAATTAAAAACAGCAATGTCTATAACTTAAAATATCATCATAATGATTGTATTCGTGTAACTTCGAACAGGTGCCCGTGTAACATGGCTATCAGTGATAGGCTTGTAATTGAAAATAACTGTATTATGCAAGAGCTAAATCTGCCTATTGCAGGTCTTTCTTTAGGCCTGACATGTTATCTAAATTATTAATTAGACATTAATTAACTTATCCAGACTATAATCAACTTACGATGCCATCGCTGGAGTACGATGTTTACTGGATTTGAATACATTTTGTGATAGATGATTTAACGTCAAAATCGATAGGCCCTAATCGAGATTTTTTTTTTTTTTTTGATTTTTTTATCGCAATAACTTTAGCAATGATGAGCGATGCTGTTCCTAAAATTCAATCGCTAATATCTCGGTTCAGAGTGGAGCAATTTGAATGAAATTTTCAGCATATTCTATTTACGTTACCTGTTTTTTTTTTAACTATTATTATAGTGAGAACCTTCAGCTCTTTATCTAATCGCACATAATGCCCTTTTAATTATGATAGTATGCTTTTAACTTAAGACTTTGGAACAAGAATATCAGCTGTAACTTAAAACATAGCAATCTATAACGGCCGCAATACTATATACCGGAAAACACAGGAAAACACAGGATTAGTGTTTTTCCGGTGTTTTCCGGTATTCAGTATAACATTGTGTTTTCCGGTAGTTTTCCGTTTCTTTCCGGTGTTTTCCGGTTGTTTTCCTGTGTTTTTTAGTGTTTTCCGGTATATAGTATAGCCCCTATAACGGCGTGTGTGTAACTTAAAACGTCGCGGCTATCTATAACGATGTGTGTTTTAATATATCGCTATTCATAACCGTATACTTATAACTTAAAACACTGCTATTATAACGGTGTGTGTATGTAGCTAGGAACGCGGCTATCTGTAATGCCCCCCTGTTAGACCAGAGTGGCGTCCTTACTGCGCTGCTGCGACCGTACGGCGACCAGAAAATGCACAAATTCGCCGACAAACGTGAACACAACGCGAGAAAATTAAAAATTTGAATAAAGTCGCGTTCTCACAGCTTTCCATGTCAGATCGCAGAATCTCGGCGTTTGTTTTGAACGTGCTCAAAACAAATGCCATCATTGGCGACCACGGAGACCACAGCACGATATCTGGTGTTTCCACCGCACTTTTACACTTGACGCGCTCTGAGACCATTTTTCGTCGCCGTAGCAACGCAGTAAGGACGGGGGTATAATGACGTGAAGGGGGATTGGGTGGCCGAATAGTTTAACGTGTGCGCGTTAGATTATAAGGTGTCTCATCGAGTCAAGTGCCGTGGTTTCCATTCTCCACTTTTACTTGGCAGGAGTAAGGTCGCCTACCCAACCTCGAGGTTTTTCTCCGACCGTTATCCGTGCAGCTTTACGGTTGTGCTGATATTTTCGGATATGAGCACAACCGTAAATGGTTTATTGCTGTCAAGGGAGAATAGATTTTAGTACTTCTATGTCTGTCTTATACGCAGCACAATTTGTTTATTTGAATTATCCCTAAAAAAGAAGTCTGAAGTGGTCAATATAACATTTATCGTATTATCTGATCAAGTATATTTTAACTAAAAGTTATCAGTGTTACTACAAATCATATAATTTAAAGCAGCTAAGTCTCTAACTCAATATCAACCAAAGTCTTCGACATTGAAAACACGAATTATTTGTCAATTTAAATCAACATTGATGTTGTGATCTTACCGGGAAAATATGGGCTTCTGATATCCAATATTTAAGACAAAATAAACATTTTACCATTGGCACACGGATCGTGTACCATAATGCGTTTCCGCGCCATTTGTAACAAGGGACTGGAAGAACGAGGCTAGACGTATTCCACAAGTCATGTCAAACGGTAACGCCATATTCGTATCTGGAGAGCATGCGCAATAAATACTATCGGCGTAGCCTGGTATAACCAGACGCTAGAGATTGCCATTCACATGGGAATTTTGGCGTATTTCGCCGAACATAACTGATTAGAAATTAGAGTAAAAACGGAAACGATTGATTGTAAATCAGTTTATATATATACATTCATATTACATTATTATATGCGTTGCGACCCATTTGTGTCAATTTCTCTGTCCCAATTTTAGAGCTAAACGCAATTGATTAAAGTGTGGTTTCTGATACCGAGAAAAGTTTTTGATAAAAGAATAAGTAATATAATGCTAATCGTATCGAGAAGAGGTTTATTGAAGCGCGTTCATATCGTGTAAACTTGAACAATTGTTAATGATTACCTTTCAATGATTATAAATATCGTTGACCATTACAGTTTAATCAAATCTTTCATAGTAGGATTAAGGTTAGTCGTTTTCGATCAATGTTCTGATGTTTTTTCTAATCTCGTCATTTAAAACCGGGATTAACTGATGAATAACCTCTCTGGCCACAACAAATATTCCCATGAATAACGGGACATTAGAGTACAGTGTGTGAATGATATCTTACCCCCATTAACCTACGGACGGGACAGATATATCAATAATATATTACATATTAATTACTTCCCCTTTGTCCACGTTAATCTGGTCCTGTTTGGTTGATTTTCCCTGTCATGGTTAACGACAGAATCAAAATGTATCTCTTTCTTGTATTTTTATTATTATTATTATTTAGTCTTATAGTGTTCATTGTCGCTTGTTTCTGGTCTGACTTTATATGTGAGAAATTGGGTTTTCTGCACCAACCGGACTGAAAGTCCCACTTTTGTGCACCAACCGGGCTGAAAGCCCCACTTTTGTGCACCAAACGGGAAGAATGTCCCACTTTTCTGCACCAACCGTGGTGAAAGTCACACCTTTCTGCACCAACCGGGCTGAAAGTCCCACTTTTCTGCACAAACAAGAATAATGATGACGGCTTTATGACAGACAGACCACCATTAAGTTGTTCTTGTTATATAAAAGAACATGGACGGAAAACTAAAAAAAATCAGATTCAAAGTAAATTATAGGATTTGGTGCCTCTTCACCAAAAGAATTATCTATGTACAAAACATAATCCACAATTACATTTTATTATACAAATACGACCATAAATACTTCGGTAGTTCTCTTCCTGTTGTAGTCGTTCTGATGTACATATGTACACGTTGTCGTGCACGTAAAAGAACACTTGGAATTCGAATAAGAAATGAAACTTTTTTGCTCCAGGGAAAATTAGTGTCAAGGGTTCTTTTACGTGCACGCCAATATGTACACGGAGCCTCGGGGTTCTTTTTGTCTTATCCGAACGAGTAGACGTCCTCCGTCATTTACAAATGAAAACCAAACCGGTAAAATCCCGAGAAAATGAAATGAAACGGGGTTTAACGTCCTACTCCTAAACTGGGCTAATGAAGACGGGCATATGCCATACAGTGTGCTATGGGGGACAATTTGCCCGGACAGCGGCGCTACGGGCCTACTCTTATATCGAATTCCAACTACCAAGGGATCTTTTACGTGCACGCCAATGTGTACACGTCCCATCCGAACGACTAGACAGCTAGGAATTCGAATAAGAGTAGGCCATATAGCGCCGCTATCTGACAAAATTCCCCTCACAGCACACTGTATGACGTAGCCCAGTCGGTGCAGAAAAGTAGGAAGTTAAACCTCATTTCATTCCATTTGTTTTTCTATGAATGAGTTGAAGTATGACGTGGCTAGAAATACTTTCCTTTTCCATCCAGCTTGGGCTATTTACGTCATAGCAGTCGCGAGGCAATGGTCACCCACAGACTCACCTGTTTGTGTTTTATAATTTATAATTTATATAGTGTTTTATAGCATGACTTTCAAATGCTACCATTTCATATTTTAAAAAAAAACTATTTACAATACATTTTAGATTTGAAAAAAAAATTTGAAAATATTTTCGATTGATTTTAGTTTGAAAACATATTTTAAAAATATTTTAGTTTGAAAACATATTTTAAAAATATTTTAGTTTGAAAAGATATTTTAAAAATATTTTAGTTTGGAAACATATTTTAAAATTATTTTAGTTTGGATTGATTACTTACAAGTTAAATTTTGTTTCAATTTTTAAAAAAAAAATAAAGTAGACAATAAACTTATGTATTTACCTTTGCTCCTATTTGATTGCCACATTGACCGGCCTGCATATGTACAATTTCCCTCATGATGATGTGAATAGTATTATGAACACCGATAATCTTCGATCACTGACTTGAAGTCAATATCAAGTGCGCTCGTTCGTTCGTTGCTAGAGTGTTACGTCCACTTCTACCAAGGCTGATGTCGTAGACAAGAAATATCAAGTGCGGTCGCGCTGTCATTTTTATACTCCCATTTATGCTTATCGCTAATCTGATTTTTAGTGTATCCTTGCGCCCGAAACATAGTGCTAATATTCAAATCGGATTAAAGATTAGGAATAAAACTTATTTATAATATGAAGTTATTTATTTATTTTTTCCAAATATTTGTAGAGAGAGTTTTTTTAACGTATATTTCAATTTTTCACGTAGGTCAAAAGTTATTTTCTGTGTATGAAACAGTGACAACACTGGTAGTCAATGCCCATGGACACAAAATATTTACGTTAGAAATACATGAAATTCTTAAAAAGTAATAAATATTTTTGAAAATCTTCTTAGTATTAACTCCCCGTGTACTGATTATTATTCGGGATCTTGAGACGTACATGCTGTCATATATAATATTAAATCTGAGTAAATGAAAAAATTAAGAAAATATATGAAAAGAGATGTCTAATCCTTTGATCCACCTGACAATACCTTTCAATCTTTAATCACTATATGATGAACCAAGGGACTAAGTAGGATTAGTATGCATTGTTAAAATGCAGCTAAAAGTAACGTGGGTTAGGCAATAAGCCCCGCATTTGATCATTGTGGCGGAATACGCAGTTTTTATACAAGTTTTAGGGGGGGGGGGCGAATGGTTATCGCGTGCGCGTTGTATCATAAGGTCTGTCATTGAGTCAACTGGCGTGGTTTGGAATCCCAGGTTGTACGTGACAAAGGAGTAGGGTCACCTGTCCAACCTCGTTGGGTTTTCTCCGCGTCCTCAGGTTTCCTCCCAGAAATGACCAAGTTTGTGTTGACTGCACATTAAATCCCATTTCTGTCACTTCCCCGGTTTCCTCCCAGTGCTAAAGACACCTACGCACAATTATTGAAAGCAAATTGAACCAGAAATGACCAAGTTTGTGTTGACTGCACATTAAATCCCATTTCTGTCACTTCCCCGGTTTCTTCCCAGTGCTAAAGACACCTACGCACAATTATTGAAAGCAAATTGAACCATATGTTAGTCCCGAAATGACCTAGTTTGTGTCAAGTGGACATTAAACCCCATTTCTCTCTCTCTGGAGGTGTTAATCGAATGTATGTGTGTTGGTGTGGGTTTTCTGTCTTTCTTTTTTCTTCAGTTTGTTTTTATGTTTTTTTGGTTGGTGGGGCGGGGAGACGTTTGTAGTTGCGTTAGGTATAATTCTAATAGATCAATACCGATCCTAATAGTTTCTACCCGAAAGTATTTTTTGGCAGATATCTTTGACAGATATATCCCTGGAAAATAAATCATTATCTAGATAAATACAATACTAAACGTTGCATAATAACACCTTGATATTTTTAATATAGGTATTAGTATTGACACACTCTTACCTATCGTTAAGATATTAGTGGATTAACTGGTATATAATGTGACATAGATGGGAGATTTGCTGTGTCTTGGGATGAAATATCATCGCGTGAATCTGTTTGTTGCTTGGTTTAAACACACCCTAGGAAGTCGTGTTAATGGTTGGTAACATAGAGATATTCAATAGAGTTTGTCAACAATCTTAACGTGGATATAACATTTTTTTCAACTTGGACATGTTTAAACCAATGAACTTAGTTAGAAACGGTTTATAATATGTACAATCAGGTGTGGATCCAGAAGGAAGGGGGGGGGGGGTAACCACCCCCGCCCCACCCCGCTCAGCTACATTGAAAAAATTGTAAAACAACACTTTTATGAGAAAAGTGTGACGGTCGTGTGATTTATCTTCTATCATCAGATGGTGGGATGGTATAGCATTCAAAGTTCTAGAAAATGATATTTTGCTTTGCATCATATGGAATTGAATCACAATGTCATCGTATAAATTCATAATAAAAATTGACGTCAAACAGGGTGTTGGATTATCTCTTTAAAAAGCTCAATGTGTTTATGTATATATACCAAAATGACGATAGAGGCGGGGGCGGGGGAGGGTGGGTCTCGCCAAAGATGCATTGTTTCAGGTATCATGCAAACCCCCTCCTGCAAATATTCCTGGACCCGCCCCTGTACAATGAAAAAATGTTCCTAACAAACTTTGTTTATTGTAACATGGATACGTCTAGACTGTAACCATGTTTTTTTAATCTTGGGGGTTTTAATTATGATTAGGTATTTTGGAAAGAAAATCAATGTTTTATTTTTCGTACTTTGGTAGTCATATAAAATTTGATGTACATAATATATAGTGTGACCTATATTGGTTTGGCCGGGCCCTTGCGAGGAAAACAATGTGCCGGAGCGAGACCTTTTTTTGCCACCTCCCCCCCCCCCCCCTCTCCTTTACAACACAGGGATTTTGATTAAGATTGCGATAAAACGAAAACCTTTTGTACATACTTATATAAGCTTCAAAGGAACAATAAAAAATTCATGCATAATTGCCCAATCTTGAACTTTGAAATTCATGGGTCCCATAGACTCTTATGGGCCCTGGGGCGGCGCTCCGGCTGCACCCCCCCCCCCCCCTCGTGAGGCTTTTGGTAAGGACTTAGTTTATGTATCGTAACTGAATATAACAAGCAACGATTACACTCCCAAGTTTGAAATAAAAGTCTTAAAAACAAAAAAACACCGACATCTAGAAATAAAGGTCTGGGACACCTATAAGTTAGCAGGTGTTTGCATAAACACGCTTCTTTATTTAGGTTACTTTCTACAACACCCCGGCACAAACATCTACTGATATACTGGAAAAAACGGAGAGAGAGAGAGAGAGAGAGAGAGAGAGAGAGAGAGATGGGGTTTAACGTCAACTCGACACAAACTAGGTCATTTCGGGACTAACATACGGTGACATTTCATTTCAATTATTCGCTTGCGTGTAGGGGTGTTTAGCAGTGACAGGAAGCCGGGGGACCCGGAGAAAACCCACGAGGTTGGACAGACAACCCTACTCCTTGTCACGTACAACCGGGGAAATGGCAAACAGAGACTAAAATCTGTATACATGTATGTTTAAAAGTCTAGTCTTTTACTCCTTGCAAGTGTCTGTGGTTCTCTTTTGTCGTGTGCTTTATCCTTTATCATTAGATGGCGGGATGGGATGGGCATTCAAAGCGTGATATAATGATATAGACATATATGTGATATCACAATTAATGTTTTGCATCAATGAAATTAAATCACAATGTGATTCCTAAAAATTGACATTAAAAACCTCTATGTGTACGTATGCCTACGTAATTTAGAGATGACTGCAACATACATTGTCAACTGTCAAATTTTCTTAACAGCAACCAGGCATGCCCCCCACCCCTGCAAAAATACCTGGATCCGTCCCCGAGTTTTAGAAATGATTGCCCATGTTTCTTTAAATATATGGATAGATCTGTTATGTAAATAAACAGGTATATTAAATAGTTTATTATATAAAGAGACTGTCATGGGTATATTAGAAGGTATATTTAATAGTTTATTATATAAAGAGACTGTCATGGGTATATTACAAGGTAAGAAAATAAGGCACAATAATATAAACAGCTACTTGTACACATACAAATACTCAACTATATTAGAAAGAGTTCACCTGACAACATAGATACAACCATGCTACTTGTATACATACAAATACTCAACTATATTGGAAAAAGTTCATGTGACAACTATAGCTACAGCCATGCTACTTGTACACATATACATACAACTACATATGATAGAAAACACAAATTTATATGGAAAACAATCACTAGGTTTATTTCACACTATGTTACTTACTTGAGAATGACAAGAGGAACTTGTTGAAAGTAGTGTGTAATAAACCCAGTGATTGTTTTCCATATAAATTTGTGTTTTATATCATACGTTCAGTTACTAAATGCCGTATAAAGATTACAAATACACAGCTATATTAGAAAAGGTTCTCGGGACAACATACCCACCAAATTTACAATAACATATTTTCTATAAAACATTCACTATCATAACGAAAACTGTTTTTTTTGCTACCAAATTTAAACTAATATATTTTCTATGGAATATTCACTACTATAATGAAAATTGTCCTAATGTGACTGAATTGCAAAACTTTTTTTCCTACCAAATTTAAACTAACATTTTCTATGGAACATTCACTACTGTAATGAAAACTGCTCCAGTGTGAATGAATTGCCGAATTTATTTTGTGAAGTTTCAATGTTATAGAATGTTTGATTGTGTAAATACAAAATGAGACAATTTACGGCCATTATGACCGATATTCATTGAGGTATATAACGAATTTAGTTAAGTACTCATGCAACAATTCTGGCATATGTAAATTTAGTAAAATAGGTAAACAATTACTTACCAATTTTACAGATTTTTAAATATAATTACCACGAGTTGATCATGTAAATTGACATAATTTGATAAATATTATCATTCATATTTTTTCTGCGTAAATTGACTTGAATGTAAATGTGAGATCTGAAAGTCGAGTTTAAACATTAAAGGAATGTTGTTGAGGAAATTAAAACTAAGCTAATATTTATATATTATAATATCCCTTGAGTATTATTACTTTTAATTACAAACAAAAAAAAAACAATCAATTAATTATTAAATAATTATAATATAATTAACAAAATCAATCATCAAAACTAAGGCTATAATAAAGAAATCTACTGAAATAAATCCATAAAAAAATTTCATTATTTGACTTGGTGGAAATAAAGGACATAATTATTTCTATAAGGCATTCAAAATAAATTAGATACGGGTAATTCTCCAATCTCAGACCAAGAGATAACTTTACCCTTTGTTTATATCTGGTAAAACTCGCCGGCCATTAATCAGCGTGAATTCGGTTGTTTAGCCCCGCCCTCTATGGCTACTGATTGGCAGGATTAGTTAGAATGAAATACTGCCGATTTTTACCAGGGATAAACGTAGGATCAAGTTATCTCTCGAATCGTGATTGGTAATTCTCGTTATTTGGCCCTTGGATAACTTGACACAATCAGGGACAGAGAAATAATAATAAATAAATAAATAAAATTATAAAACATATATATAATCACAACAGTATCACCAATATATCACAGATGATAAATACGTATTAAATAATATAATCACAACTTATATCTCCCTCAATATAATAAAATTATAACTTATCTCCCTCAATATAATAAAATTATAACTTATCTCCCTCAATATAATAAAGACAATATAAAACTTGTATGACCAATAATTCATCTAAAATTATTATTCCAATATGAATATTAACAAAAAATCATTTAAACATATCAATATAATAAAGTTGGACGGAATTAGTTACTGTAATCTTTGTTTAAAATAAGGAAATACAATTAAAAGTTGGAATAAGAATAAAACTATGAAAAAGAGATTTGGATATTTTAATTGGCACCGATCTTCATCCTACAAATCTTGATTACCATAAAATTTTTTGCACAAACATCCAGTTCACTGAAAGAGCTAGATTAATCTAATCCTGTATTATGTTGACATTTTGAATAGAATAAAAGTAAAATGTCGAGACAATAAAAAATAAATAGACATAAAAATTTGCTGCCCTAAAAGATTGATGAAATAAAATATATTTACAAAGGGATATTTTATAATATGTATATTTACAATAAATCATATATAATTACCTTATATTAAATGGATCTTATATAATATGTGTATGCACACCAGTGATGGGATTTAAAATATTTTCTTGTCGGACATTTTACCGAAAATAAAGGGGCATAACTCTTATCGTTACACGGAGCCCTTTTCATTTCTTCCATCCAATTGACTATGCACAATACCCCTGTGCACATGTCTCATCAAAACAACTAGACATTCACCAGGAATTGAATTCGGGACATCTTGATACAAGGCCACTGATGTAGGTTGGGTGGCTGAATGGTTAATGAGTGCGTGTTGCATCATAAGGTCTATCATTGAGTCAAGTGGCATGGTTTCGATTCCCCACTTGTACTTGACAAGGAGTAGGGTCCTCCCACTGCTAAAGACACCTATGTGCAAGTGAATTAATGAAATAGTGTTAGACCATATGTTAGTCCCAAAATGACCAAGTTTGTATTGAGTGGACATTAAACCCAATTTCTCTCACTCGAGGTCGCTAATACTACTCATCTTATTTGTGCACTGTGCCAGGGTATGTACTCAAGTTTTTGAATGATATAAACCATCCAATGAATGTGTATTAATAAAAATAACATGGGACATTATCGTTGTACATGTGTGAATAAAGATCTATCAATTTTTTGACAACAATGTGGATAACACAATCCTTTAGTGGCATTTAGCGATTGGAAACATTACAGAACTAACACAGTTATATGGGACAACAGTGATTGTTGTCCCATCCATACAACTGTGTTAGTTTTGTTATGTGGATACCAGTTGCCAGGGTGGCATGTTTTCTTAGAATAATTTTATTTATGGATACATAACATGTTATTAAAATTCAGTCCCCGAGTTCACAAAGCATTCTCAGACTTAAGGTAAGAATTTACTCAACTTCCAATCACTGTTTATGAGAAATATCTTTGATCCAGAAACATAAAACTTTGCACATAGTTTCTTATTGTTGTATTTGATACATTAAAACAATAAAAGTTTTATAAAGGGCTTTGGTTTAGTTAAAATAATGCAAACAGTCTTGAGTAAATTCTTAACTTGAGTCTGAGAATGTTTTGTGAACCCGGCGGCCAGAAGTGTTATATTTTATTTGAGGGATATTTACAAATAGTTTAAAACTTTTAAACAATTTCTAACAATACAAATAGATATAATAATAACAATTAAACTATATGCCCCATTAAAAGAGATTCGTAAAAGCAATATAAAAGTGAAATAATATAATATTGAGAATATTTCGAGATAAAAATATCACAAATAAATTATTTCTACCTGAATCTTATGTTTTGATTATTAGAGATCTGTTAAATTACATAATGACCAACGATGATATGTTTTAATGTATATTAATTAGAACACAAAACAAAATGTTATCACACAGCATCTCATTCCCTTGAGTAAATTTATTTAATCAAAAACTATCCTGGCCAAAAAGCCATGTAGGAATATGAGGAATAAAGGCATGCACGCAACTGTGCAAAATCTATATATCACTATAACTATTACAAAATTATGTAGATTTGCTAAATTATGTATGTATGTCTACAAAAAGATTAAATAACTTATATGACAAAATGTATTTTCAAGAGCATTTGCACAAAGATACAATTTATTACATAATAATAAACAATAATAAACAAAATTTAGTATGTGTATAGTTGATACATCGATTTTTTAGATGAAATGATAAACTTTTACAAAAGAAGTTCCTGTCATGTGATTCTATAAACAAGTTCCAGTCATGTGATTCCTGTCATGTGATTCTATAAACAAGTTCCTGTCATGTGATTCTATAAACAAGTTCCTGTCATGTGATTCTATAAACAAGTTCCTGTCATGTGATTCAATAAACAAGTTCCTGTCATGTGATTCTATAAACAAGTTCCTGTCATGTGATTCTATAAACAAGTTCCTGTCATGTGATTCTATAAACAATTTCCTGTCATGTGATTCTATAAACATCTTAGATTGACAACCACTGAAAACATAACTTAAGTAAATAGAATTGAAACTGCCAAGGCCGAGACAGGCCACAAATATTTATCTTAATTACACATGAACGAGGAACATTTCAGTCTGTCATTAAATAAATATCCGACTATAAACCATAATGGGTTAATCATGGATACTATTTCAGATACACAAATTGCAATCTTATTAATTATCAAATTTCTAGAATTTATTCGTTATTAACAGGAAGTTTCATATTTATCTAGAACTTGAACATATAGTCCCTGACGACTATATAAACAGATGAGTTCGAACTGAACGAAACTAGTCGCTTCATGAGAGACATCTGGGATGGCTACTCGCCACTTATAGATTTCTAATTTTACAGGCTAAGAACTCTGATCTTTTTTAAATAAAAAGAGTTTATCATCAATAAGATATCTGAAGTTTTCGAAGTTAATTTAAATATCTGTTAATGTCCAATAGACATTAATGTTTGGCGTCTGAGAATCCAAAATCCAGACATTTGGTGTTGGTGAATCTATATATATATAGATGTATCGGAATTAAAATATTCTGTAATATGTTTTATCATTGTTGGGGGTGTAACAGGGAGCTCTGTAACATGTTTTATCATTGTTGCGGGTATAATAGGGAGTTCCCCTACAACCGGTGGTGTAGTGGCTCTTGTAGCACTGAATACTTCTGTTGTTGGTGGAAAGATTCCTACACGGATAAACAACCTGAAATAAGAAATAGATTATTTTATTGAGAGAGAGAGAGAGAGAGAGAGAGAGAGAGACTCCGGGTGACACAAACTAGGTCATTTTGGGACTAACATATGGTTCAATTTTATTTCAATAATTCACTTGCATGTAGGGGTCTTTAGCAGTGGGAGGAAACCGGAGGACCCAAAGAAAACCCACGAGGTTGGACAGGCGACCCCCACGTACAACTGGGGAATCGAAACCACGTCAATGGCAGACCTTTTGATACAGCACGCACGCCATCCAACCCCCCTTACTTTGACAAACACTTCTGGATTGAACAGATTTAACCTATTAAATATTAGACATTTATTCATTGTTCTGCCATCTTTTTTTTTTATTAATATTTCATAAATCTTGTTATATATAAAAATGAAATGCTAACTGCAGCATATTACAATGATTCTCTTTTGTAACAAAAACCCAAACAACATGCACGTCGACCACCACTGGCATATCTTACAATACTTCTCTTTTGTAAAAAAAAACAAAAACATGCACGTTGACCACCACTGATTTCCAATCATTCATATAACAAATTTTGTAGAAATTCATGTATACATTAGTGTATAAACATCTGTACATGCATATTAAAGGAGCTAAGTCCGTAACTCAAAATCCTCCAAATTCTTCGACATCGAAAACACGAATTATTGGTCAATTTAAATCAACATTGATGATGTTAACTTACCGGGAAAAGATGAGCTTCTGATATCCGATATTTAAGATAAAATAATTTTTTTAACATTGGTACACGAATCGTGTACCATAATGCGCTTGAGCCCCAGTTGTATTGAGAGACTTGAGGGACGAGGCTAGACACATTGCACCAAATCAAATGGAGTTATGTAGACTAGAATAACTAGACGCTAGAAATTTACACTCGATTGAGATTGCTGACTTATTTCGCCGAACATAACTGATTTGAAATTGGAGTAAAAACGGAAACCATTAAATGTAAATCAGTTTATATACATTCATATTACAGTATTATATGCGTTGCGACCCACTTTTGTGAATTTCTAGGTCCCAAATGTTAGCGATTTAGCTCCTTTAAATTTATCTATAACATGCATGTAATGTACATCTGTATATTTATCTATAACATGCATGTAATGTACATCTGTATATTTATCTATAACATGCATGTAATGTACATCTGTATATTTATCTATAACATGCATGTAATGTACATCTGTATATTTATCTATAACATGCATGTAATGTACATCTGTATATTTATCTATAACATGCATGTAATGTACATCTGTATATTTATAACAATCTGATTAAAGTACACATCTATATTTCGTTTCATTGTTTTATACTTTTGATGACCTACACTACATGAAGATCTGACCAGTTGTAGTGGAAGGTCGCATTAGAGTTCATACAAGCGACTTTTGACGCAGAGCATGCCAAGAACTTTCCGTAACAGACCATTTCATTGGCTAATACCTCACTTCAACCAGAATGCTAATCCTAGTGATGTGAAGACAAGTAAAACTATAAATGAGATTGTATAAAAGACAATAAGATAAATACCATGCCATTGACTACCACCTTGTCTGACCACCATCATACATGTGACTGATTATTGTACCTATTATCATCAATATGAACAGGTAAATGAGGATTGGGTGGTGGATGAGTGAATTCATCTGAAATATTAAACACAATTAATTAATTATGGCATGGAGAGAGGGGGGGGGGGGAGAGAGAGTTTAACCTCCAAACTAGGTTCAATTTTACTTCCATAATTCGCTTCAGCATAGGTGTCTTTAGCAGTGGGAGGAAACCGAGGACCCAGAGACGACCTTACTCCTTGTCACATACAAACGGGGAATCAAAAACCGCGCCAGTTGACTTTATAGAATACAGATGATATTAATGCAAATGATGTTTATTTTTAATTAGACATAACATTCATACATGTTGGAGCCATTGTACTATCTGTATGATGTCACAGAGAGCCACAGTGGATAAGTGGGTAAGACGTATTGGCTGAGAAAGTTCATTAGGATTTTTCCAACCTGGTTTCCCCTTTGTCAGTGATGCAGGATGGAGGGCCTGACAAGGACAGCTGTCTAGTCGTTTGGATGGGACGAAAACTGAGGTCCTGCGTATACATAGCCGTGCACGTAAAAGATCCCTTGGCAGTTGGAATTCGATATAAGAGTAGGCCATAGTGTCGCTGCCCGAGCAAAATTTTCCTCATAGCACACTGTCTGGTGTATGCCCGTCTTCATTAGCCCAGTATAGAAGCAGAACAGTAGGACGTTAAACCACATTTCATTTCTATTACATCACAATGGGAATACAGTCATTAATAATAAATGTAGTTATCTCCCTTACACCACTAAAAATACATCAAATCACCACATGAAGGTTGTTTAGTAGTTTCCTCCAACTTTTAAATGGGTTCATCATATTCTAACTTAATAAGTTATTGCCATTTGAAGTTTGTTTCTATAGATTTCTCTCTGTCAAATTATTTATTGAAATTTGCACGAATCAGAGAATATCTAAAGTCTTCCGTGTAATCAAATTTTAATGTCTAAAGTTTCCATCTCTATAACAAAAAGAGCTAGAAATATTATAACTTACTTAAAATGTGACGTCATCGTTTCAAATAATCGTACGGGCAATGTGCCAAACGTACATTATTTATACTAGTGGAAATATTGGACCCTTGTGACCTATTTCATGAAATGCACATGCTGGATAGTGTCTGTATTTTATGTTGTTTAATGGTCTCGTGCAAGATAATGTGTAATATATAGATATAGCCCAGGTGCTAACATATCAATGTATTACTTAAAGATACATTATGGGAGATAAGATAAAGAGATGGCAGTTCTCGCTATAATAGTTAAAAACTAGATAGTGTAAAGGTAATTTGCTGAAAATTTCATTCAAATTGATCCACTATGAGCTGAGAACGAAGCGGGTGAAATTTTTGCATAGTCTCGGTCATCATTACTAAAATCATTAATATAAACAGCATAGTCTCGATTATCCACTTTTTTTATTTAAAGTAGCTAAGTCCGTAACTCAATATCATCCAAAATCTTCGACATTGAAAACACAAATTTTTTTGCAATTTAAATTAGCATTGGTGTTGTGATCTTACCTGGAAAAGATAGGCTTCTGATATCCAATATTTAAGACAAAATAAACATTTTACCATTGGTACACGAATCGTGTACCATAATGCATTTCAGCGCCATTTGTAACAAGGTGCTCAAAGAATGGGGTTAGACATATTCCACAAGTCATGTCAAATGGTGATATCATATTCTTATTTGGAGAGCATGTGCAATAAATAATATCGGTGTTGACTGGAATAACCAGACGCTAGAAACTGTCTTGCGGTTGAGACTTCTGGCGTATTTCGCCGAACATAACTGATGACAATTCAATGTAAAACGGACACGATTGAATGTAAAACAGTTTATATAAATTCATATTACATTATTATGTGTGTTGCGACTCATTTGTGCCAATTTCTAGGTCCAAAATATTAGCGATTTAGCTCCTTTAATTATCAATGGCTGTTAAGCGTCACATAGGAATCTAATCCAGCCAACATCGATGGCTAGCCTTGACATCGAGAGTTGATTATGGTCTGGATAGGTTAATTAATATCTAATTAATACTTTAGATAACATTTCAGGCCTAAAGAAAGATCTACAATAGGCAGATTTAGGACTTGTATAATTTATTACTTAATGTCTTGCACTCGACCATTAAACTACACATATTACATGTATTTCATTAGACCGAGTGAAATAATTCCAATACTTACGATCACCAGATGATGAGTTGATTTGTTTGTTGTGTAAAGTTTGTTGATTCAATTGTCGACCACCATGAGTATCTATAGATGACACACTACGTATTTCATTACTGAAAAACAAAACAAACCAATCAATGAAGATTGAAGACACATTGGAAGATTACACACATTTATATGGCACCAGGAAAATATCTTACATATATATATTTAGCATTAATTTCTTTCACATTCATCTAATATCCAATCCTTGTTTAAAAATCCATTGTGTCCAGTTTAAAGCTGACAATTCAATTTTAATAATGAGTGTCCAATTTACAAGTATTTAATTTCTCGATAACTGTTAAAAAATAAACAACACAATTGATTATTGATGTATAATGATTAATTTTTAAACAGTGGTCAGGAAATTAAATACTTGTAAATTGGACATTCATTATCAAAATTAATCAGTCAGCTTTAAACTGGACACAAGTACAAATTAGATGAATTTTGGTGATTTTAAATGATTTTTATGAATTTTATAACAAAGATTTAAACATGCATTATGCAAGAGCTAAATCTGCCTATTGCCGGTCTTTCTTTAGGCCGCAAATGTTTTCTAAAGTATTAATTAGACATTAATTAACTGATCCAGACCTTAATCAACTGTCGATGGCATCAGATTTCTCCGATATTAAATAGATTAGAATGGTTCAGCGACACTTCGATTTAATCAAATATGGAGGACCGAGACTTAGCTTCGATCAACCAGTACGGTGGTTGAAATTATTGCACACGTCTGTCAAACCTTCAAAGGCTAATATCTTCGCTTGCAATAGAGTTAATTGAATGAAATTTTCAAATTATTCATTTTACATCATCTACTTTCGAACTATTATAGCAAGAATGGCTAGTTCTTTATCTAAATCTTACATAATGTATCTTTAATATTGAATGAATGTGAAAGAAATTAGTGCTAGATACACAAGATTAAATAATACCTAGGTTGGATTGATTCAGTTAAAGACTTTTAAAGATTCATTACACATTAGAACCTACATTGGTTTTTAACAAGATCAGAGATGAATCATGTAGAATGTGCATGTACAGGTATTTGACAATATTGATTTTAAATATCATTTTACATAAAATCATTTTACATAAAATCATTTACATTTGTCTGAAAATAATTTTTCAAAATGTTATTTATTGTGTGGCATGCTATAATATATATATCATTATCAAATGAATCATCAGGCCATTAGCCATAGGGGTTTTTAGCAGTGGGAGGAAACCGGAGGACCCGGAGAAAACACGAGGTTGGACAGGCGACCCTGGTCCTTGTTATGTACATGTAAAGAAATGAAACCAAATAATAATAATAATAATAATAATGTACATTTGTAGAGTGCCAAATCCATCCAAAAGCATGCTCAAAGCACAATGATAAAATAGTTATATATAAGCAGTGAACAGAAAGTCTAATTCTCATAGCATTCTCGAAATAAGTGAATTTTCAGCAGTGATTTGAAAGTAGTGCGGAGAGAGAGAGAGAGAGAAATGAGGTTTAATGTCCACTCGACACAGACTAGGTCATTTTGGGACTAACATATGGTTCAGTTTTATTTCAATAATTCGCTTGCGTGTAGGGGTCTTTAGCAGTGGGAGGAAACCGGAGGACCCGGGAAAAAACCCATGAGGTTGGACAGGCGACCCTACTCCTTGTCACGTACAACCAGGGATTCGAAACCACGCCAGTTGACTCAATGACAGGCCTCGTGATACAGCGTGCACTTGCTAACCATTTGGTCATCCAATCCCCGCGAAAGTAGCGAGGAAAAGAGGATTAAAGAGTGACAACATCTAACACACCTCACAGGAAGAGAATTATCAATAGTATACCATGGTTCTTTTAAAGGATCTGTGGGCTGATAACTCTCATTTACTTCCTGTGTTCCTGTAGAATGTTTCATGGGAGTACCTGGTGCTGATCCAGACATAAAGTTAGCATCTTGTGGACTAGTTGTTTCACACACTGAACTGTAAAAAAAAAAAAAAAAAAAAAATATAATTTTTGGACTAGAACAACATTTTAGGACAGCTAAGGGGGGGGGGGGGGGGTTAACATCCTACTCTGACTGGGCTAATGAAGACAGACATACGCTATACAATGTGCTATGAGGGAAATTTTGCCTGGGCTGCAGCACTATGACCTACTTTTATATCGAATTCCACCTGCCAAGGGATCTTTTACGTGCACGCCAAAGTATACATGGGACCTCGTTTTTTTTATCCAATCCTAACGACTAAACAGCTGTCCTTGTCAGACCCTCCATCCTGCACCACTGACAAGGGGAAACCACATCGGAAAATCCTATGAACTTTCTCGGCCAATGCGGGGATTGAACACCCGACCTCCAGACTAAGTGTCTTACCCACTTAGCCACCGTGGCTCCCTCATAAAATACAACAATTTTGTATGTAATATATGTGCGATATAAGTAAACATGTTACCTAGAGCCAGGATATAACTGGGTATAATTAGTTTTGTATGTAATATATGTGCGATATAAGTAAACATATATTACCTAGAGCCAGGATATAACTGGGTATAATTAGTTTTGTATGAAATATATGTGCGATATAAGTATATTACCTAGAACCAGGATATAACTGGGTATAATTAGTTTTGTATGAAATATATGTGTGATATAAGTATATTACCTAGAACCAGGATATAACTGGGTATAATTAGTTTTGTATGAAATATATGTGTGATATAAGTATATTACCTAGAACCGGGATATAACTGGGTATAATTAGTTTTGTATGTAATATATGTGTAAGATAAGTAAACATATGTTACCTAGAGCCAGGATATAACTGGGTATAATTCATTTTAGTGCTTTTACTTTCTTCTAATTTCTTGAAATATATGTGCGATATAAGTATATTACCTAGAACCAGGATATAACTGGGTATAATTAGTTTTGTATGTAATATATGTGTAAGATAAGTAAACATAATCCTAGAACCGGGATATGACTGGGTATAATTAGTTTTGTATGTAATATATGTGTGATATAAAGTAAACATATGTTACCTAGAACCGGGATATAACTGGGTATAATTAGTTTTGTATGTAATATATGTGTGATATAAAGTAATCATATGTTACCTAGAACCGGGATATAACTGGGTATAATTCATTTTAGTGCTTTTACTTTCTTCTAATTTCTTGGATATCTGGTATTTTTCCTGATAATTATTAAACATACATTATACAAGAGCTGACTCTGCCTCTTCCAGGTCTTTCTTTATTAAACATACATTATGTAAGAGATAAATCTATCTATTGCAGATCTTTCTTTATGTCTAAAATGTTATCTAAATTATTAATTAGACATTAATTAACTTATCCAGACTATAATCAACTCTCGATGCCATTGTCAGCCTGCGATATTTACTGGATTTGCATCAGACGTGTCAACACCAAGGTATGAAGAAACACAAGACCAGCAATGAAAAAAAAATAGGTCATTTCGGGACTAACATATGGTTCAATTTTATCTCAATAATTTACTTGCACGTAGGAGTCTTTAGCAGTGGGAGGAAACCGGAGTACACTAAGAAAACCCACGAGGTTGACAGCTGACTCTACTCCTTGTCACGTACAACCAGGAAATCGAAATCACACCAGCTGACTCAATGATAGACTTTATAATACAACGCACATGCGCTAACCATTCCAGCCCCATCCCCCAACAACCCCCCAATTCTTCCAGACCAATACCATATTTGGCTGTAATAAAGTTTAAAAACGATATAACTACTCACCCTTCGTATTGCCAATTTCACGTCTGTTGGTACATCAGGTATCATGGCTGCTAATACATACTTCAACGCAAATACAATATGCTAAAACACAGGAAAATCATAAAATTTTTAAAAATCATTTGTTTTTCATTATATTTATTTATATACATAAACGGTGTTCGGCAGTAGTTTATAGACATTCCTACTATACTGTATCCTATTATTTGTGTGTGAAAAAGATAGGTTGCCAGGCAACAAAAAATACACCCACAGCGGCTAAATCTTCCGAGCGGGCGACAAGGGTTGTCACATATTTATTCTTTTGTAGGTAATTGGGAGCATTTACAAGACAGTTTCAAACAGATCAGATTATAATTTTTATCGTTTGAAGGTTCACAAGGTTCTACAAACTAAAACAATTAGGGATTTTACTCTGGAAGTAATTAACAGAAAATGTTGAAATTTAAATAATGCATATAAATGTCATACAGATCGGATGATAACTTTGGTCGTTAAAGTGTTCACAGTGTCTGACAAAGTGAAACAAGGGCCATAACTCCAGAAGAAATAAATGAAAATTATTGAAATTAAAGAGACTTCTTCATCTTACTAATGTAAACAACATATATCAATTTAAAAACAATCAGATGATAAATGTAGTCTGTAGAGTGTTCACAAGAAATTGTGGACGACAGACGGACAGATGGACTGACGGACAGAGGCAATATACAACCACATTTCTATGTGGGCGTATAAAAAGAAGTAGTTAGAATAAATGTGTAATATTTACCTCAAATCCTATAACAATCCACAGTTTTTCCTCCATCGTATATTTACCACCCCAATTTGAGGTAAACGCAATTAAAAATGCATTTGTTAAAACACCAATGATATTTACAAAATACAAGATATCATACCACATTCCTTGAAAAAAAAAAATAATTCGACACATTGAACATTTGGAAATTTATTCCCCATTAATAGATGACATTCATAAATTACTTGCATATTTGTCATTTCATAAAGCGTGGGAGAGAGAGAAATGGTGTTTATCATCCACTCGACACAAACTAGGTCATTTCGGTTCAATTTTATTTCAATAATTCGCTTGCGCGTAGGGGTCTCTAGCAGTGGGAGGAAACCGGAGGACCCGGGGAAAACCCAGGAGGTTGGACAGGCGACCTACTCCTTGTCATGTACAACCGCAGAATCGAAAACCAGGCCAGTCGACTCAATGACAGGCCTTATGATACAACACACACGTGCTAACCATTCGGCCATCCAACCGAGTCCATTCCATAAAACATAATCCAAGCTGAAAATGCTTGTTAACAAACTTAGTCCAAAGCATTGACAAATCAAATTAGAAATCTATAAGTGGCGAGTAGCCGTCCCAGATGTCTCTCATGAAGTGACTAGTTTCGTTTAGTTCAAACTCATCAGGCTTAAGTGAGATTGTGTGTGTGTGTTTGAGTTAGTTGTATTTTACGTCCGCTTCCATCGAGGTGATATCGCAGACAAGTGAGATTGTGCAGATGTTCCCTTCATATAGTCATCGGGGACCGAAGCACAAAATGGGTCTCGGATGGACTGGCGCAATGATGAACATATGCAATAATTTAAACATTCTACCTCAAATAGAAGAGTTATTGTTCCCAAAGGTATGACAAGACAGACAGATGAAGACATTTCAATATTCCCCTGCTGGGTCCGAAAGGTAAAACTTAAAACAACCTACCAATATCTTAAGCTATGAAAGAGATAAAACCTACCAATATCTTGAGCTATGAAAGCGATAAAACCTACCAATATCTTAAGCTATGAAAGCGATAAAACTTACCAATATCTTGAGTTATGAAAGCAATAAAACTTACCAATATCTTGAGCTATGAAAGCGATTGGACGTCTGTACCACCACAGCATTCTTTTAGCATCGACTCTAATATCAACTAAATTTGTCACCAAGGCCAGTATAGGAGCCAATGGAAAAGACACTGCAAATAACTACAATAAAAAATACAGTGAAATACAGATATTTAAACACTTTGAGAAGAAGCAAAGAAAGAACAAAATTAGCTGAAAAATTCAAGCATATATTCCTAATTATTTGTTATTCTAAACCAAAGTATTCTTATCTGTTTCATATACAAGTTAATATCATCTTGCTCTTCGGATGATCCTATAGATTCTGTAACTCTAATGGGATGGCCGGGTCATCTCATATCAGGCAGTTTATCTGAGAGAGAGAGAGAGAGAGAGTGAGAGAGAGAGAGAGAGGGGGTGTTCAACATCCACTCAACATAAACTAGGTCATTTCAGGACTAACATATGGTTCTAACTTATGTCAATTATTCGCTTGCGCGTAGGGGTCTTTAGCATTGGGAGGAAACCTGAGGACCCAGAGAAAACCCATGAGGTTGTACAGGTGACCCTACTCCTTGACACATACAACCGGGGAATCGAAAACACACCAATTGACTCAATGATAGACCTTATGATACAACATGCACACGCTAACCATTCGACCATCCTACCCCCATTAATAGAAAAGCAAAATGTATATTTTATACATTGCGTAATATATAGATATATCCCTCATGCTAAACGCACTCGTATAATATCAATATTTTACTTAATGACTCGCACTCTACCATTTAACTACACTTATAGTAGCTTAACCAATCGCAATTTGAAACAGAAAATACCTTACCATTAAAAACCCATATTGTATGACTTTTTCAGTATATTCTCCTAATGTAAAATCTCCAAGTCCAGGTTTTTTACGTTCTCTTTCAAGAAATTCTGTATGTGGTACTCTACCATTTCCTAATGTTACCTTCGGGCCTTCGTCGACTTTATTTTTACCACAACATGGACAACATCCACATCCATTACATGACGGAAAGAACTTGGTAAACATACGTCGTACAAATCTGTTAAATTACATAAAATCAAATTAGCTAAATCTGCCTATTGCAGGTCTTTCTTTAGGTCTGAAATTTTATCTAAATTATTAATTAGACATTAATTAACTTATCCAGACCCTAATTAACTCTTGAAGCCATTGCTAGCCTGTGATATTTACTGGATTTAAATACATTTTTGGTAAAATAATTAAATCGATAAATGGATAAGCGAGACTTTGTCTTTTATTGACCGACTTTAGTAATGATGATCGAGACTAGGCTAAAAGCTAATATCTCTGTTCAGAGTGGAGTAATTTGACTAAAATGTTCAGCATATTCTATTTATGTTATCTATATTTCAACTATTATAACGAGAACAGTCAACTCTCTATCTAATCTCCCATAATGCACTTTTAAATAAAATACTTGTCTAATTAAGTAATCAACATATAAGGAATAGCAAGCCTGAAAATAAGGCACCTGCCACAGACAATGTCAGGTACAGATTCAGGCTTTGTCAGGCACTAAACCTCTGATGCCTGTCATTTTGTCCGGCACTGATTTGTCTTTTATATTGATATTATCAATTATCAATAAGTTGAAAATGTTAGGTTCTATTTCATTAGTGCCTGATATTTTGTTGGGTACATCTAACACCATTATTTCCAGGCCTAAGGAATAGGTTGTGGTACTTACGGTAGGATAATATCTTTAAGTAGTTTTGGAAATGGTTTCATAAGCATAAGGACTAGAACTTGGAAAGAGAGTTGAGACATACAAGTTCCTGAACAAAAATCTTTATATTGATCCCCTTCCACCAATACACTGTCAAATCTCTGTAAAAAATAAATACATTAAATAATAACTTTACATTCAATATCCCAACACCGAGTAAAACATTCTACTGTCAAATCTCTGTAAAAATAAATACACTAATAACAATTTTCAAAACCATTACAGAGCAAAACATTTCGTGAAACTGTTTATTTGTCGCTTACGTTGTTTGTTCCAGATAAGTAAGACATTCTTTTTTGAAGGATTTGAAATCTTCGGTATTATCTTAATTTCCAATGATTGCTCAAGTTACGGTTTCACTTTAAAACCACAACCTGATTAAAATACAGATCTATATTACATTCGATACTGTGAGTTACGCACAGTTCCAGGCAACTCACACCAAAAACTCGCCATAACCAACCATATCATTGGCTAATCCCTCACATTTTCCAGATCCTAGTGTAGTAAAGACAGTTACAAAATTTTGAACTATAAAAAACGAAACGAAATAGGATCTGTGTTTTAATCAGATTTATCCAAACGAATTCTGTCCGTAATCTAAATGGCATTCAATAGAATTACACTGGGTATTTTGGGTTAATTTTGTTAGTTGACAGAAGCAAACAATAGAATTACAGTGGGGATTTCATGTTAGTTAGTTAAACATGTACAGAAGTAATGAATATTGTTATCTCTACTTACACCTCGGAAGAAAGCTATATAGAAACAAGATGCATAGCTATTAACAAATTGAAAGGCAAATAGTTTGATTATCAGAGAATCATCATAACTTGTCTGTGTTCGGTGATTTTCTGAAAAAAAAAAAAACACAAAACAATTATTAGACATATATTGTAGTAAGTGCAGGGGGACTGCACCACACATAATTTACACAAAAACAAATACACGGACAAGACATAATACGCAGAAATCACAAACAAATGCAAAATTCAAATAAAGTGAATGAATTCCGGGGCTAGCCGTAAGCGTCCACTGCCTATTGTAGGTCTTTCTTTAGGCCTGAAATGTTATATAAACTATTAATTAGACATTTATTAACATAAAAAGACCTTAATCAACTCTCGGTGATGTGTCAGATTTTCACTGGATTTGAATCCGATCAGCTGCTCAGCGCTCATTGATGATTAAATCCAAAAATGGATAATCAAGACTATGTTTTTTTTATCCTACCAACTTTAGAAATTATGATCAAAGCAAGGCCTAAAATTCAATCACTAATATCTCGATTCAGAGTGGATCAATTTGACTGAAATTGATAGAGATGGGGTTTAACGTCCACTGGACACAAATGAAGCTAGAGTTTATTCATTCAGTTAAAATGGAGTAATCAGAGCAGGTTTCAAGGTAAATATAATTAGTCAAATTTAAACATACCCCATTCTGTGAGAAAAACAGCCAGTTTATCATAGACCTATAATATTAAACATTATAAATTAACGATGAATCCTGTGTTTTGGTTGGTCAATTAGACAATAACATGCCTCTTACTTAATAAGACAATTCATCGCATAATTATATTATGCACACTACCTTAATGGAGAGAATTAATTTTGATCTTGGTATGTATGTGTTTGATGACGTTTTTGAGATGTTGGATAGTAAACAAGATAATATACATTTTTTTAAAAACCCATGTAAAGTCTTAAGTACAGGAATATCAACATATTGTAAACATTGTAAGACCCTAATATAGAACTTTTTGTCACCAATAATATTAGAGAGAGAGAGAGAGAGAGAGGGGGAGGTTAACGTCCACTCAACACAAACCAGATCATTTCGGGACTAACATATGGTTCAATTTTATTTCAATACTTCGCTTGCGCGTAGGGGTCTTTAGCAGAGGGAGGAAACCGGAGGATATGGAGAAAAAGCACAAGGTTGGACAGCGACCCTACTCCTTGTCACGTACAACCAGGGAAATCGAAACCACGCCAGTTGAACCAATGACAGACCTTATGATACAATCCCCCAATATTAAAGAGGGTGAAGTCATGAAACTATAAATAATATTTATGAAAATCTCAAACTATATATACTGACCTTGCCAAGTATGAGGATTGAGACAGCGTTGAATATGGAAGAGATGACTGTAGTTAGCAGTAGACATTCTGTACTAGATATATTTGGACAATAATCCACGTTAACAATTACACGATATATAATAACAGATGTAACACTAATAACAACCAATAACATCTGTAATATAACAATAACACGATATATAATAACAGATGTAACACTAATAACAACCAATAACATCTGTAATATAACAATAACACGATATATAATAACAGATGTAACACTAATAACAACCAATAACATCTGTAATATAACAATAACACGATATATAATAACAGATGTAACACTAATAACAACCAATAACATCTGTAATATAACAATAACACGATATATAACAGATGTAACACTAAAAACAACCAATAACATCTGTAACATAACAAATTATATAATTATAATTACACAATATATAATAACAGATGTAACACTAAAAACAACCAATAACATCTGTAATATAACAAATTACATATCAATCTGTTTAAGCGGTGGAAACATTAGCCAAATCATTCATCCGATTGCGAATGTGTGGACACACTAGGCGAATTTCAACACTGATTGATTCGAATAGTGTGTCCACCACTTTAGTGATTGGTAAATATTTATTTCCCAGCAATTCAAATAAACAATACAATGGTAAAGTAGCAATAAAAGCCCATAAACTATGAATAACGCTGGAATAGTGCATAAACTATTAATAACGCTGGCATAGTTCATAAACTATGAATAATGCTAGCATAGTTCATAAACTATGAACAACGCTGCCATAGTTCATTAACTTACCATTGGAGTACTTGGCTGCTGTACATATTTATATGAAAAAGGAACAAAACTTTTAGGCTTAATATTTCTACTTGCCATAAATTGAATGGCACAAAAATTTCTATAGTAACAAGCATATTTACCATAAAAAGCAGCACTGAGCTTGAAGCAGTTATTTTTAAAAATTGTCTCTTAAATGGATAAAACTGCATTTGTTCCTGTGTTACTGGATCCTATAAAACAATAAACAACCCCATTTAGACATTCCACACAGAACTCTTTGTCCTGTAACAGTGGGAAAAACAGTTGGCAGGGTCCAAGAATTTACTTAGACTTTGATGTGTGTGTGTGTGTGTGAGAGAGAGAGAGAGAGAGAGAGAGAGAGAGAGAGAGAGAGAGAGAGAGGGTTTAAACTCTAGTCAACACAACATATGGTTCAATTTTAGTTCAATAATTGCTTGCGAGTAGGGGTCTTTAGCAGTGGGTGGAAACCGGAGAAAACCTACGAGATTGGACAGGAAAACCTACTCCTTGTCACGTACAGAGAGAGAGAGAGAGAGAGAGAGAAATGGGGTTTAACGTCTACTCAACACAAACTAGGTCATTTCAGGACTAATATATGGTTTAATTTTATTTCAATATTTCGCTTGCGTGTAGGGGTCTTTAACAGTGGGAGGAAACCAGAGGAAACCCATGAGGTTGGACAGGCGACCCTACTCCTTGTCACGTACAACCGTGGATTTAAAACCACGCCAGTTGACTCAACGACAGACCTTATGATACTGCGTGCACACCATTCAGCCATCCAACCCCCCTTCAATTACAGACCTTATGATCTAATGTACATGTGTTAGACCATTCGACCACCCAACCCCTGACAGCTTTCATATATATGCTAAATGGACAGCGAATAAAGACACGTACTGCAAATGGTCCCTCCCTTAATCAGGCAATGTGACAAACAACGCTGCTTATAATAAATAATTCAACGGCTTAGGGTTTGGGTTTTTTTTGCGATTAAAATGTTTGGAGAAAAATTAAAAGCAAACTTTTGATAGATAAATTGACATGAATATGATCTTTTAGCGGCATTTAGTAACTGGATAGAGCAATAAACTATAACACATACTTATGGAAGAACAATTACTGATTTATTTGGGCGACGTTTCGAAGAGTATTCTCTCAATGTTTTCAAGCAAGTACAGTAACAAATGTGTAGAGCAATTTCTGAATTGTTGTTATTGCTTGTCTATATATAATTGCTCTACACATTTGTTACTGTACTTGCTTGAAAACGTTGAGAGAATACTCTTCGAAACATCGCCCAAATAAATCAGTAATTGTTCTTCCATAAGTATGTTTTATAGTTTATTGACATGAATATGCTTTTAGCCCACATATCATATCATCAAATCACACAGTTAATAAAACAAGCCAACAGTGAGGCTGATGTCCCCCGCCAAAATCCCCAAATAAATAGATGACACATATTAATTAATCGCACATCTATTTTTTTCCAAAGTATCGAGCAATCAAACTGATTATCAACTATACACTAAGTTTCATCACTCTCTATCAGATAGAATCAAAGTTATCTTGTCCCAAAGCATCGACCAAGGAAATTGCTTATCTCTGCTTAGCTTTAGCTCGATATGTTAATCATTGAACTCAGTCAAGACGAATATCTACATCAAGTTTAAACATTCTACCTCAATTAGAAGCAGAATTGTTATGTTCCAAAGTCTTGACCAATCAAAATGCTTATTGCTTGTTAGCCTAAGCAGAAAATTCTCATCTTTGAACTTAGTCAAGGTATTGATGTAATGAAACTATACACCAAGTTTCATCACTCTCACTTAATTAGAACTAAAGTTATCATGTTCCAAAGCATCAACCAATCAAATTGCATCTTTGCTTACCCTAAGCAGAAAATGCTGATCTTCGCACTCCATCAAGGCATTGACCTCATAAACCCCAACACCAAGTTTGAACATTTAAGCTTAATTAGAAGAAGAGTTATTGTGTTCCAAAGTCTCGGCCAATCAAATTGCTTAACCGCTCTGCTTACCCTGAGCAGAAAATGCTCATTATCGAACTTAGTCAAGGTATTGATGTAATGAAACTATACACCAAGTTTCATCTCTCTCACTTAATTAGAACTAAAGTTATCGTGTCCCAAAGCATCAACCAATCAAATTGCTTATCTCTGCTTACCCTAAGCCGAAAATGCTCATCTTCGAACTCCATCAAGGCATTGACCTAATAAACACCTACACCAAGTTTGAACATTCTAGGTCAATTAGAAGGAGAGTTATTGTGTCCCAAAAAGTGTGACGGACAGACAGACGGACAGACAGACAGACAGACAGACAGACGGACGAACCCATTTTTATAGTCCCCTGCTTTCTTCGAAAGACGGGGGACAATAGGCAGTGGAAGACGACAACAACTCTCGTAAAGTAGGTCTAATGTAGTTGGAGACTAGTAGTAGTAGGAGGACATCTAAACTTGGGTTCAGGAAGACGATGAAATATGAAGAGAATCAAGCCCTATAACCAGTGAAGATAGAAACCTATAGTTCAAAACGTCTACACAAATAAATTAACTGATTACTACCTAGGAGTTCGTCGATCTTCACTCGTTATAGGTGCTGCTTCTCTATATAGTTAATAAAATAATAATGAACAATCGCCACAAATTATTAAACAATCTGTCAAGATGTGTTTAACAGTGAGAAGAAATTTGTTAACTTACTGGTTTGACTTTTGTTCCATAAAACTGAGGTCTGTCTGGTTCTTTTGATTCAAAATCTTCGACATCCCATTCATAAGCCAAAGTGGCCGTCTTTCTCTTCCAGGCCTCTAGAAAAATAGTTCCTGTCAAAAACAAAACATCATAATTCTATTATTTCAGTAATATGTCCCTGTCACAATCTATCATTGAAAAAAATATAGAGATAGCCAGTTAATATTTAAATTAATTAGCTTATAATCTGCCAATCAGAAAACTGAGGTCTGTCTGGTTCTTTTGATTCAAAATCTTCGACATCCCATTCATAAGCCAAAGTGGCCGTCTTTATCGTTATACCAGAGTCAAACTTCTCCGGAATTTGAATAGCAAATTTAGCCGATCTTGTTTCCATATACATGTATATAACCATCATCGTATAGACCGAAAACAAATATTCTGATCCTTTGCCTTATAAAAATATGTTATGCTCAAATCCGCGTAAAAACTACTTTTACCTCACCAAAACAAAACTTGATTGTTTATATAACAAATTATATTCCCACTATTGTTCAATTTAATAAGCCCTCCCAAATAGAAATGGCATCTATTATCCTATTTGGAAATAGCCCATGTCGTACACTCTCCCATAAAAAAAAGCCAATCACATCATTTAGAAGGCTAATAGGCGAGTAGAAATGTTCCAATACAAATAATTGGACTCGTCACGAGTGATCCTGACTAAGACATAAATGATATATTTGTATGATTGTATATCAACAAAGGAGACCGGTCATATTCAGTTTATTTCATTATGGCTACTAATTCATATATTTATGTGCATATATTTAGTGATTTTTGCAAACTTTAAGAATATTGTGAAACTTACCCCATAAACATATGATGAGACCAAAGAATGGAGTGGCATCATTATCAAATGATTCTTTAACTAAATCCAACACACCAACAACAGTATTCTTGATACTATAAAATACAATATATTGACGCATTTATAACTATTGTTATATACGGTTGATACTATAAAATATAATTACATACTGATATAAAAATATATTGATATAATAGAAAGTTGATAACTTACTTATCAATAGTTGAACTGGTAACATTATCTGACTGATCTGTATCACTACTTTCTTTACTGGCACTAAAAATATTAACAAACAAATCTCACATATATTTCGCTAAACAATAGTGGAGAGAAACAGAGAAATGGGGCTTAACATCTACTCAACACAAACTATGTCATTTTGGGACTAACTTATGGTTCAATTTCTTCATTTCAATAATTCATTTGCACATAGGGGTCTTTAGCAGTGGGAGGAAACGGGAGAAATTGGAGGACCCGGAGAAAACCCATGAGGATGGACAGTCTTACCCACTTAGCCACCGTGATCCCCCCAATTTTTTGGTACTTTGAAGATTAATTTTTTTAGATTATGAAGATCTTTACCTTACAACTAATCCGTATATGAAGATACCAATACCAAGTAGTGATGGCAACCATAAAGACATTATTAACATCCCTGACCACGCAAAATAAAACGCAATTTGTTCACCAAAATAATTTCGTATTTTCCATAACGGTTGAAATTTGAAGAATTTCGTCCATGTCTCATCCAAGTCTTTTCGTGGATCTTCATCAATTTTGACCGAAACCTGCGAGCCATCGTCATCGCTCACATCAAAATGTTCATCAATACCTTCCTCCAGCTTTTTACGACTCTGAGAGTTTTCATGAAGAATCATACAATCCGTGTAGCTTTTTTTCATCAATAAATATAGTAAACCTGAAATATTTAAAAGTAAGTTCTGACTTTTAATCTATGACTGTAATAGACCTGTCTGACAATCATTAAAATAGTATTGAACAATTTCCAATTAATGTTAGTCAATATCTAGATTACTGAAACAACAAATTTACCATTCATCACTTTCAATTGCTTCCTTTTTTCCCTGTTCAGCTTTGATCCAGTTTTTAACTTGTTTAAGCAGTTTAATTAGACCAAGTGATCTATTGAGAGAGAGAGAGAGGGAGAGAGAGAGAGGTTCAACATCCACTCAACACAAACTAGGTCATTTCGGGACTAACATATGGTTTAATTTTATTTCAATAATTTGTTTGTGCATAGGGGTCTTTAGCAGTGGGAAGATATCATGTGATAATATGACATCACCATGGTGACCGTTTTTACTGAAACCTACAATCGTGAAAGCTATAAATCCAACTAACCCTTTTTCTTGAGAACTTTTCTATTAGAGGATTCTGTGGCTGCATTTTGTGATTCTTGTGGAGATAAATAATTCATCACTGTATCAAACTTTGATTGTGGGTCATCTTCATCTGGATTTGATCCTTCTAACTTCTCTGTTTCAGTTCGAATATCCATATTAATCAAAATATGATAAACCTAAAATAATAGATCATATAAAGATTGACATGATGACGTCTTGACCAAGACAACAAGATGTTCAATAGTTTACAATCGGATTAAAATACAGATCTATATTTCTTTTCGTCTGACCAGTTGTAGTGGAAGGTCACCTCAGGGGTTGTACCAGCAGCTTTTGTCGCTACGACGTTAGACATTGATTAATCAATCAGAATTGATGTGTCCAGTGGGTTGCACACTTGTCGTAACAGACCGTTTCATTGGCTAATCCCTCACTTTAACCAGAACACCGGTAGTATAACAACTCTTCCAGATCCTAGTGTAGTAAAGATAAAATTAAATTTTGAACTATAAAAAACAAAACAAAATAGGATCTGTGTTTTAATTAGATTGAATATTTTACTATGAAGTGAATAATATAAAATGGTGACTCTTCAATAATTGATCAAATAAGTGAAACTTCAGGACATCACACTCCTGTATCAAAGTAAACCAATATGGAATACTTACCAGAGAAGTGAAACTTGATATCACACTCCTGTATCAAAGTAAACCGATATGGAACACTTACCAGAGCAGATCTTAAAGCTGGCCGAAAGAAATTTGATGGATCTGTATGATGTTGGTACATATCAATACTATCCATGTAGAACTGAGAGCTCACATAATCAACTGCAATATTAAAAAAATATATTTACATTTTGTTAGCTACCTAGGTTTCCTACAAATTTCTCTAATTATATCTTAAAACTCCCCGAAAACTCCTCTCGTTACATCTTAAAACTCCCCAAAACTCCTCTAGCTATATCTTAAAACTCTCCAAAACTCCTCTAGTTATATCTTAAAACTCTCCAAAACTCCTCTAGTTATATCTTAAAACTCTCCAAAACTCCTCTCGTTATATCTTAAAACTCCTCTAGCTATATCTAAAAACTCTCCAAAACTCCTCTAGCTATATCTTAAAACTCCTCTAGCTATATCTTAAAACTCCTCTAGTTATATCTTAAAACTCCCCAAAACTCCTCTAGCTATATCTTAAAAGTCTCCAAAACTCCTCTAGTTATATCTTAAAACTCTCCAAAACTCCTCTCGTTATATCTTAAAACTCCTCTAGCTATATCTCAAAACTCTCCAAAACTCCTCTAGCTATATCTTAAAACTCCTCTAGTTATATATTAAAACTCTCCAAACTCCTCTAGCTATATGTTAAAACCCTCCAAAACTTCTCTCGTTATAACTTGAAACTCTCTAAAACTCCTCAAGTTATATCTTAAAACTCTCTAAAACTCCTCAAGTTATATCTTAAAACTCTCCAAAACTTCTCTAGTTATATCTTAAAACTCCCCCAAACTCCTCACAGAATATTAATAAGCAAGCTAATTGATATATTTTTAAAAATATCACTGATGGAATTAGCATTAGAAAACTAAGAATTACTAATATCGAATAACTCAAGTATTATGATCCCCCCAAAATCTCACCTTCGTTGTCGGTGTCAAAATGTCTTTCAATAAATCTTCCTATACAACCATAATTATCTGTGTCCGGAATATCACACTATAATAAAAACATGATTACATTAACACACTATAAAAAAAATATGATTACAATATCACACTACAGTAAAAATATGATTACATTATCACACTATAATAAAAATATGATTACATTATCACACTATAGTAAAAATATGATTACATTATCACACTATAATAAAAATATGATTACAGTATCACACTATAATAAAAATATGATTACATTATCACACTATAATAAAAAATATGATTATATTATCACACTATAATAAAAATATGATTACATTATCACACTATAATACTAAAGATAACTGATACACTATTATAGATATTAAAATAGTATCAAATTGCAAATATTGAAGCATACAATGTTTTTTCTTTAAATTTGTAATTTACGAACTTAACATTGAATACTGATGTTGGCCTTAATTAGCACAATAGCATTTGTTTTCTTGTGTAAATGCCCAACCATTGAATGATAGTAAAATTGCTGGCCAGGAATTTACAAGTAAGTGAGCTGGAAATTCTCATCATCGAACTTAGTCACGGTATTGATGTAATTACTAATAAAACTATACTTTTTGAGATTCATTACTTCCATCTAATTAGAACCAAAGTTATCATGTTCATAGACTCAAAATATGATGCCTCAAAGATTTTTTTCTGAATTGGTGAAATAGACTTTTAACATAAAATAAAGATAACCATGCAGAACAATGTTTCAAATCAGCTTATCCAAAAGGCAAACTTGGATAACGACCAAATTTGATATTCTGGCAAAGGAGGAATAACTATGGAATGGAAGGTTGTTGAACGCTGAATATCCATCTGGTTCGTCCTCCCATAACCCCAATGCTTCAAACCCAATTTTTAAAATCTGTTAAAAACTGTAGCCACTATCACAAGGGGAGAATACCTCCAGAACGGAAATTCGCACAACACTGAAAATGAAAAGAGTTCATCGGGGTTCATCCTCTCATGACGTCAATGTTTCCCACCAAATTTGAAAAACATCTGTTAAAACTGTGTAGGTGTAGAGAGAGAGAAATGGGGTTTAACGTCCACTCGACACAAACTAGGTCATTTCGGGGCTAAAATATGATTTAATTTTATTTCAATAATTCGCTTGCGCGTAGGGGTCTTTAGCAGTGGGAGGAAACCGGAGGACCCGGAGAAAACCCACGAGGTTGGACAGGCGACCCTACTCCTTGTCACGTACAACCGGGGATTCGAAACTACGCCAGTCGACTCAATGACAGACTTTATGATACAGCGCGCGCAAGCTAACCATTCAGCCATCTAACCCCCCCTGTGTGGGTGTATAAAGATATAAAAATAATTCTGAACTTACATCTTTTAAAGGCATTTCTAACTTTACTCTCTCAGCTTCTACACAAAGTCTTTTAAAGGGGCAATGTAATTTCTTGTATATTAAATTACCAATTTCCGTTTCTTGAATCGAGAAACCCTCGTCACGCAAATTGTCTTCAAATAATTCTCTATTTTGTATATGCTGCAATGTTTTTGGTTTTGTTTTTCCTTTTTCAACCGATGGATTTGTATTTGGATGAATCAAAACAAAATCAATTCGTTTGCGCTCAGGAATAAGTTCATTTTTAATTGCTAATGTTGAGTATCTCCGTTCAAAGGGGGTCATTTTTGGACCTTTGTCTTTTTTCTTGTGTTTATGTTTTTTGCGTTTGTGTAATTTTGTAACAGCATTCACAGCTTGACTTGTTCCTTTAAAACTTCGACTTAGATTCCCTTCTCCATCACTTTCATGCTCTGATTCTTCAATAAGGTCGTGTAAATCGTTATCCATTGTTGAAGATTCTGTGCTGTCCATTTACCTATCAAACTATAAAAAAATATAGATTAAAGATACAGTATGTAAGATTTAGATAAAGAGCTAGCCATTCTTGTCATAATAGTTCGAAAATAGATAATGTAAAATGAATAATTTGAAAATTTCTTTCAAACTACTCTATTGCAAGCAAAGATAATAGCATTTAAAGGTTTGACAAGACGTGTCCAATAATTTCAACTACTGTACTGGTTGTTTGAAGCTATGTCTCGCTCCTCCATTTTTAGCTTAATTCAAAATATGGCTGAACTGTTCTAATCTATTTAATATCGGAGAAATCTGATGCCATCTAGGAGTTGATTATGGCCTGGATAAGTTAATTAATGTCGAAGACTTTGGATGATACTGAGTTAGAGACTTAGCTACATTAAGATACTCTGAAAATTGAAAATGTACGATGTATAAAATAGTGCCGCTGTCCCGGGAAAATTCCTCTCAAAACATATTTACACTTTGTATGCCTGTTGATGCAGTAAAGTAAGACAATAATAAACTCCATTTTATTTCAATGGTTTTATCTCCGGCTCATATTGCTACATATTAAATTAATGTTTGGAGAGAACTTGTTCAATCCAATTCAGCTTATTGAATAAAATATTGTTTAAACTAAACTATCCAAAATTAATAATAATATGTAAAGGAATAAAAACATTTTCAGACCTGTTTGGATACAGCCAAATCCCTCATTCAGATATGTACAGTGGTTTATTAAGTCCCATATTGTATTATTGTTATTGACTACCATATACACCATACTGAATAGCACCTAACATATCGGTACAATGAATAACATTCACTTTTGTCTACTGCTTTACAGAAAACAGTAACTTATCTATAACTGTTTACTTTGACTCAAGGTCAAGAGCTAAAAGTACTTCTGGAAATTTGAATAAAAGCAAATGTATTAAAGATACGTTCCCAGAAAAGTATTTATCAGGTGATTATTTCCAATAAAAGTATTTCAATTTTGGTATATATGGAAAGTAGAAATATCCAATCTTACTAGAAAAATACTGGATTCCCTGAAAAACCCTCATGGAGCGCATACAGGATAAAAATGTAAGGGTTTCCCAAATCGAAAGCCCGGCGATTAGGAGTGTCTGCACGTGTAACATTGAGCGCTTGATGAACATATTGATAAACTTTATGAAAAGTTAGACGTACAACACTTTCTGAGGAAAAAGACGCGGGCAGTGCATAATCCGAGAATTTAATTAGGCTTCAATATTTGTAATAAATAGTCAGCGATTAAAGACAGCATCGTCTTGTGTATGCAATGAATTCTCCTCTGACTTTGCACCCGTTGCTAGGTACTGAGAGAGGTAAGTCACGTGACACAAACATGACCTCTTTTGATCGATTTTTTAATAGTAAGGGTATTCCCTGACAATTGCAATGTTTTGAGAAGGATTTAAAGCAAAATTATGATAAACTAATTAGTTTGAATATCTTTTTTAGTCCAAATATATCATCAAATCACCCAGTTTGTATGCAGAATGTATCTTTAACTCAAGTACAATCGACACATATACTTATATAGTTATGATCAACACAATTGCACAATTTACTGTTTTTTATTACCGTTCTTGCAAAATCCTCGCTAAAGACAGCATGCAAACAATTTTTTTTTAAAACCCTGAGTCATATACTTGTATACAGATATAAATGATAAAAAAACTTACACGGTTACGAATACATTACATGCCATGATTTTGTTAGGAAACTTACTCCTGTCCATGTCAACAGTTTTTGTCCTAATGATCATTTATGCTTTATAATAGTTTATAATCGTGCCGAGCTGAATGTTAAAAGCCTACCACGAGAAATCCAATATCGCTATTATAATACCCATTAGGATTTATTACAAGAATTGATCTGTGTAGCACAGTGTGGAGGGAACTTGAGGGCTAGAGCTCCCTCTCTCTTTATAACTTTAAAACAATATAATGTGCTGAATTGAGAGTGAGAGATCCCTTATAAGATTGAGCTCCCCAAGTATTTTCTAAAGTATAGACAGAGCAATGTTTGTCATTCACTTTTCTTTTCTTATACTTAAACATACTTAAATCTTCCTATTACAGGTCTTTCTTTAGGCCTGAAATGTTATCTAAATTATTAATTAGACATTCATTAACTTATCTAGATCATAATCAACTTTCGATGTTATCTTATGTGTCGGAATTTCACTGGATTTGAATCCAGTCTACTGCTCAACGCTCATTGATGATTAAATCCAAAAATGGATAATCAAGACTATGTTTTTTATTGTAACGACTTTAGTAATGATCTGCGCTAGGCTTCTGAGTGGATCAATTTGACTGAAATTTTCAACATATTCTATTTTTAACTATTATAGTGAGAACAGTCAACTCGTTATCTAATCTCCCATAATGTATCTCTAATTAGTTCTAATCATTCTTTCCAATTGAATAGAGATGAGTTGTGTACATAAAACCAGTAAATTTTCCGTTTAGGAGAGAGAGACAGGACTTAATGTCCACTCAACAGAAACTAGGTCATTCCAGGAAGAACATATCATATAATTTTATTACAAAAATTTGCTTGCTTGTAGTGATCTTTAGCAGAGGGATGAAGCGGAGGACCCAGAGAAAACCCATGAGGTTAGATAGGCAACCCTACTCCTTGTCACGTACAAGTGTGAGATCGATAACCATGCCACTTGACCCAATGACCTCATGAACTACAGCGCACAGTTCAGACCAATCAGCCACACACATACATACATTCTCTCTTTCATTTTGGTACAGTAGTGTAGATTTATGATACATTAAAATTATATTATTATGGAACTAAATATTAGAAGACACATAAAAAATAAAATCTGTTTCACAAGCTTTTAAAATATTCAATGTCTCCCGAGTCCTGACCCCACCTTAACAAAATGCGGACTACACCTGTATCACCTGTATAGGTATAAGGAGTAAAGGTACATTAAGTAATCAATAATCTGTATGTCAGATGTAAACATTAATCCCATCCTAACTACCATCATAATGATTTCAACTCATTCAACAACTGTATGGTTATTGTGCAATATTTACCCAAAACAAACTCTGATAGGGTTGGTTATAAGTTTTATAAATATTTTCATTACTGTTATATCGATTTAATCTGGTTACACAGTTACAATTGATTTGTAATGAATTTAAAAATGAAATGTTGAAACTAAATTTTAACCTACTAGCTATAGAGCTGGATTAACCATTAAGCAAACGAATCACATGTTGAGGGCATCATGGGACAGGGCCCAGGGGACACCGCCCAGGGGACACCACAGAATTTCGGTTTTGTTAGACAACAAAATAAAATATTTTATTTAAAAATTAATTAAGAAATTTTAATTAGTTTTCATTGTTTTTGTCTTTTCTTACTATTACCTGCTTTTGTCTCAATTAATAATAACTTGAAAAAAAACTCATTTTGACAAATAAAAACTTATTTTGTGATATATTATGGTTTATAAACATGGGGCACCAAATTCTTTAAAGTGCCAGGACTCTAGCGGAGGTCTGTTCGAAAATTGGCTTTTTTCAAAAATGCGCTATTTTTCCGGCGTGCAAAATGACCGATGGGTCAGATCTAGTTTCGATCATTTTCCATACCCCTCGATCTCGACCAGCATATACGACTGATATGGAACCCATGCCCTTGCCTGCGATATCATCTCGATTGAAACGGATGTTAAATAAATCTATTTCACACACCCATGCCCTAGAGCTTCTATAGGTCTAAATCCAACCCTGCCTGCTACAGTAAAATATGGAACTCACTGATGAACCCATTAGCACTTTTCTATTAACAGTATAGATACGTATTCCTTACTTTTAAGACAGGCGTTTAATAAGTCATAATAAAAACAGAGGGAGAGAGAGAGAGAGAAAGAGAGAGAGAGAGAGAGAGGGTTTAACATCCACTGGACACAAACTAGGTCATTTCAGGACTAATACATGGTTCAATTTTATTTCAATAATAGGGGACTTTAGCAGTGGGAGGAAACAGGAGGACCCGAAGAAAACCCACGAGGTTGGAAATAAAAACTAAGGTACAGGGGTACACTGGTTCAGACATCACAAAAACTCACATAAATTTTAAACAAATCTGTTTCCTTAAAATCTGCTCTTGTGTGGACGTGAATGATTGCACTTATTTTCCCAACCGTTGATTTGGGAAAATTTATCAGGTTTTATAAATATGTCATTCTATCCAATTAAAAAGTTCAGTGACGTTCGTTCGTTCCTGGAGTTTTACGCCCACTTCCATTTCCCTGATTGTTCAGGGACAATCAGAAAACCTATTTACACAGGAATGTGATCAGCTCAAGCTTAAATTAATGTTGATTAATCTTCTTTATTGTGTTTACAACATTCAGATTCGGCTTGCAAAGTTTTTCTTTGATCAAAGACCAATCTGATAGGCCACACAAGCTTGTAGGGGATTTTACGTCGTTAATCAAGTATGTTTATGGACGTGTAATCTACTAATGTACCCCAGAAACAGCTGTGGATTACTTTTTGGTTTTGTGTAGTGTTAAGAGAGAGAGAAATGGGGTTTAACGTCCACTCGACACAAATTAGGTCATTTCGGGACTAACATATGGTTTAATTTTATTTACATAATTCGCTTGCGCGTAGGGGTCTCTAGCAGTGGGAGGAAACCGGAGGACCCGGAGAAAACCCACAAGGTTGGACAGGCGACCCTACTCCTTGCCACGTACAGCCGGGGATTCGAAACCACGCCAGTTCACTCATTGACAGACTTTATGATACAGCGCGCGCACGCTAACCATTCAGCCATCCAACCCCCCTGTAGTGTTAAGACTTACTAATAGTGTTAAATAACACGTAGAAATAGTGTTAGTAATTACAAGCACCTGTCAATGAATCAGAATCCATGGGCACCAAAACATATTATACTCTAAAAACTGATTTTGATTAATGAATGTACCGGTATACAGTTTTACTTCATTAACAATATAGACTTGATTATTATTTACCATTGCTATGATAATAATAAACAAAGTCTTGATAATCATTCCGCATCACGGTCATCTAATGGTCTGGAGAGTTTATTAATGTCTGATTAATATATATATATAAAATAGGCAGACTTAGACATAATACATCATTTAACAGAAGTAAATAATCTGTAATTACATCAATTATTCATTGAGTCAGTGATTAATGGCCTGGACCTATATCTACTAATACAATATTCCCACACCAATGACAATGGATGGTCCATATATTGATTTTTGGATTAAATGTATTCATTGTTGTATTTATAATAACAAAATGAAATGGGGTTTAACGTCCTACTGTTCTGCTCCGACTGGATTAATGAAGACGGGCATACGCCATACAGTGTGCTAGGAGGAAAATTTTGCCCGGGTAGCGGCGCTACGGCCTACTCTTATATCAAATTCCAACTGTCAAGGGATCTTTTACGTGCACACCAATGTGTACAAGGGACCTTGGTTTTTCGTCCAATCCAAACAACTAGACAGCTGTCCTTGTCAGGCCCTCCGTCCTGCATCACTGACAAGAGGGAACCACGCCGGAAAATCTGGATGAACTTTCTCAGCCAATGCAGGGATCGAACACCCGACCTCCAGGTTAGCGAGCCAGCGTCTTACCCACTTAGCCACCGTGATCCCCCATTTATAATAACACGAGTATTAATCCAACATGGGTATTTATAAAGACATCTGAGATCAATAAACAATTCTATAAAATGTATTAAAGACATCTGAGATCAATAAACAATTCTATAAAATGTATTGAAATTCTATCAGAACATAAAACTAAGTTTGCCAAGCGACCACTTTTACATTCTAGCCTACAAAATCATTTTTGACACCAAGGTAATTGAAGATGCATTATGGGAGATTAGATAAAGAGCTGGCAGTCCTCACAATAATAGTTAAAAACTGGATGATGTAAAGGGATTTTGCTGAAAATTTTAGTCAAATTGATCCATCCTGAACCAAGAATTTATTGATTGAATTTTGGGCCTAGCCTCGATCATCATTACTAAAGTCGGTAGGATAAAAAAAACATAGTCTCGATTATCAATTTTTTGATTTAATCAGCAGTAGCAGATCGGTTTCTAATCCAGTAAATATCGCAGGCTAGTGATAACATGAAACCTCTGTTGTTCATAGCATCCAAACAACTAAAATTCCCTTGTTCCTGGACCACTGACACGGGGAAAACACTCTGGAAAATCCCAGGGGACTTTCTCGGCCAACATTAGGCTTAAGCCCCGGACCTATTCGTTAGTTAGCAAGTGCCTCAGACACTGAGGTACCATGGCTCGATATCTATTTCAAATCTGTTAATTTGTGTTCTTATCTGAAGTGTACGAATCCAATCTTGCTAAGTTAAGTGTGCAACATTATGTGAAAAAACACATTTTACTTTAAATTAAATTGAGGTCTCCAATTTTGATGAGAGTCAAATAGTATTTATGGTATTATGACGAACTATCCCAGTATGACAACATAGCAATCTAATTACGTGTTGGCCTCTGCGGATTTATTTATCAAATATAAATTGGGTCATTTTCGACAAACGGGTCTAGTTTTATGGATAAGACAAACAATTGCTATTTCTCAACGGATCTTCAGTCAGGTTTTCATTTTTGGATTCTTTGAACAAATCCCATAGGGGTTGTCATTGACCTTTCTTTTTTTTCAAAATTAGGAAGTTTGCACACTGATATTTAGAATCAAATATCTTTGAAAATTTTCTTTTGCATTTTTATGAAATACTAGAAGAATGCCCGGCTTCGCTCGGGGGTCATAACCCCGAAACCGGAAGTGGTAGACTAAAGCCACCTGGCCTATGTTACTCCCCGGTCCGAGCTACCCCTATACCCCAAATTTCAGACTCGGGGCAGACCTAGTGTAGCCGCCAACTCCGAACAGACAGATAGACAAACAGACAGACAAACGACAGTCACAAATATTAGTATAGATTCAAGATGGCGTATCACCATCACTATTTGAGATATCAGGTTGAAACTTGGTATGAATAAGGAGAGAGAGAGAGAGAGAGTTTAACGTTCACTCAACACAGACTAGGTCATTTCGGGACTAACATATGGTGTAATTTTATTTCAATAATTCGCTTGCGTGTAGGGATCTTTAGCAGTGGGAGGAAACCGGAGGAAACCCACGAGGTTGGAGATATGAATGAGGAACACATCGATGTCTTCATAACTGCATATTGAAAATCTTTGTGACGACTTCGGAAAACTTCCAAAAATTTCAGAGGTTTTCCCGTTTTTCCCGAACATGAACAATTCTCTCTGTTTTGTTAATAGACTAAAAATGACATTCGAGTATTAGCCCCATATATTATCTTTCATTTTCAGATCCCTTCTTCATTAACATTTTCAACCGTTTGGCTCCCATATTGGATTTTACAAAAAAGTTTCACATAAATATTCAGTCGCCATCTTTAATCCAGTTTGCGCAAACTTTATTTTTTCTGCAGCTACACCAGGTGCCAACAGCTCTCAGAAAGCCGATTTTTTACAGATTTTAGTCAGAAGTTGCAGCCAAAACTGTGCATGGTGCAAACCTTCAGCCAAGGTAGATATACTGTTGGCCTCCGTGGAACTAAATATTAAATATAAATTAGGTCATTTTTGACAAACAGGAAGTGTTTTACCGATGGGACAAAAAATAATCTCAGATTGCCCATATCTCGGTTATTTGTCGTCGGGTTTTCATTTTTGGATTCTTTGGATGAATCCCACAGGGGCTCTGAGTCAGACTGGCGTTTTTTTGAAATTCGCTCAATTAGTTTTAGCATCAAAGATTTGCGGAAGTTTTCGTCAGCATTTTTTCGACATTTACGATGGCGTATCTCCGTCACTATTTGAGGTATCAAGTTGAAACTTGGTAGAAATAAGGAACCAATCGATGCCTTCAAAATGGCATATTACAATTTTTTGCAATCTGATTAAAATACAGATCTATATTTCTTTTCATTTTTTATACTTTCGATGGCCTACACTATATGAAGACCAATTGTACTGGGAGGTCGTGTCAGGGGCTATATGAGCGGCTTCTGACCCTATATATATATATACCTACCCGGTACCCAAAATGGCAACCATTCTTAGGGAGCCGTTTTTTAACTTTGATTTTGTTTACTTCTGGTTTCACTTTGATATTTTTTTGACTTTGGGTGACCTAGCTGTTTAATGACCCTTGACCTTATTGCATATACGATGACCCTGACAACTAATATCAAAAAGTTTGGTCAGGAAGTATAAATTTCGGTTTTATTAAAAGTTCAAATGACAGAATTTTTCCACTTTATAATAATTATTATAGTCAATTAATACTAATAGTTCATGGTTTAACTTTATTGTTAAGAAAGATTAGGGCTAGATTTGGGCAAGATTAGGGCTTATAATTCAATCCCGATATGAAACACATGGGGAAATGCCAGGTAAAACCATCTCTTATCTCCAAACACGGAGGGTTGACATGAGATTTTCTTATAAATATAAATACATACGAATGGAATTACGATACGTCTTCAGTCTGACAGTCGATACAGGGCAGTACGTGTCAGTGACAGTACACTATAAATTCACATTGACACACACCATTTTAGATATACAGATCAAAGAAAACTCCATTGCTACACTTACTATAATACCTAAGATTGTTTGCGATAGCTGACCTATGAATAGATATTAAATCGCTCCATAATTCTTTCTCAGTCTATTTTCATCGTTGATTTGTTTTGGAAGTTGCCATGATTGCAAGGGAAGTAACTTACACCGTGTGTTTTTCAAGGGAATTAACTCCAATTAATTTTATAGCTCATTAAATGTTGACTAAATGAATAATTAATATATATTTTACCGATTATTAACAGCTGCTATTCAAGTAAACTAATTACAATAGGCCCTATGCATTAATTCTGCTATTTTGAAATGTCTGTTATTTTATGGGGATGGGGATGGATGGCCGAATGGTTAGCACGTGCGCGCTGTAGCATAAGGACTGTCATTATGAGTCAACTGGCGTGGTTTGGATTCCCCGGTTGTGCGTGACAAGGAATAGGGGCGCCTGTCCAACCTCGTGGGTTTTCTCCGGGTCCTCCGGTTTCCTCCCACTGCTAAAGACCCCTTCGAGCAAGCGAATTTATTAAAATAAAATTGAACCATATATGTTATAGTCCCGAAATGACCTAGTTTGTGTCGAGTGGACTTTAACCCCCTCTCTCTCTCTCTCTCTCTCTCTTTAATGGGGCGTTGGATGGCCTCCTAATGGTTAGCACGCGCGCTGTATCATAAGGCCTGTCAGTGAGTCAACTGGTGTGGTTTCGATTCCCGGTTGTACGCGACAAGGAGTAGGCCGTAGTGCCGCTGTCCGGGCAAAATTTCCCTCATAGCACACTGTATGGCGTATGCCCGTCTTCATTAGCCCAGTTCGGACCAAAACAGTAGGACGTTAAACCCCATTTCATTTCATTTCATTTCACGTGACAAGGAGTAGGGTTGCCTGTCCAACCTTGTGAGTTTTCTCCGGGTCCTCCGGTTTTCTCCCACTCTAAAGACCCCTACGCGCAAGCGACTCATTGGAATAAAATTGAACCAATATGTTATTCCCGAAATGACCTGGTTTGTGTCAAGTGGACACGAACCAATATGTGAAATATGTGGAATAATAGACTTGTGTACATTTTCACATTTTGAGTTGTGACATACAAAATGAAATGAAATGAAATGGGGTTTAACGTCCAACTGTTCTGCTCCTATGCTGGGCTAATGAAGACGGGCATACGCCATACAGTGTGCTATGAGAGAAATTTTGCCCGGACAGCGGCACTACGGCCTACTCTTATATCGAATTCCAATAAAGACGGGCATGCGTCAGACAGTGTGCTATGAGGGAATTTCTGCCCGGGCAACGGCACTATGCCCTACTATTTTATCGAATTCCAACTGCCAATGGATCTTTTAGTCATACGCCAATGTATACACGGGTCCTCGGTTTTTCGTCCCATCCGAACAACTAGACAACTGTCCTTGTCAGGCCCTCCGTTCTGCATCACTGACAAGGGGAAACCACGCCGGAAAATCTGGATGAACTTTCTCGGCCAATGCAGGGATCGAACACCCGTCCTCCAGGCTAGCGAGCCAGCGTCTTACCCACTTAGCCACGTGATCCCCTATAGAAAATAGAGCTACGAAAGCAAGTAAAGTTAGAACTTCATGAGAAATAGTCTACATAACTTTTATTTTCCGAAAATGGCGAAAATCTGCCGATAACTTTTCCCTCGGACAAAACATCAGACAGTTAGGAAGTTTCACCTGACAAGTTGAAATTCGTTTGGACTTTATCCGTGTCCAACCAGTTTTTTCCAGCAATTATGCGGAAGGACACTAGACTGGACTCAAACCACAGGACACAAGCAAAATTTGAACCCATGACAACACAGAGGTGAAATGAAATAAAATAGAATAGTTTTAACGTCCTACCGTTCTGCTCCGACTGGGCTTATGGAGACGGGCATACACCCGTGCAATGAGGGAAATTTTTGCCCAGTAGGCCTATACGGCATTATGGCCAACTCTTAAATCAAATTTCAACTGCCAAGGGATCTTTTACGTGCACATCAATGTGTACACGGGACCTTGGTTTTTCGTCCCATCCGAACGACTAGCCTATCTAATAGTCCATTTGCTTCTCATGTTGTACCTGTACGCAAGAAAGATGGTTCTCTACGATTCTGCGCAGATTATAGATATTTTGTTCATTCGAAAACTGTTCGTGATTCTTATGCTCTTCCTGGTATAGACGAAATTTTGGATTCTTTAAATGGATGAAAATATTTGTCATCGTTAGATTTAAAAAGTGGATATTGACAAATTGAAATGACATAATAGGATAAATGTAAAACAGCTTTCACTACAGGTAGCCTTGGCTTTTGGGGGTTCAATTTTCTTGCTGAGGAAGCACAATCTTAAATTAACTTCATTCGGACCAAGGCACTTCATACCACCCAATGGGAAGCGATTTATGTGAACACTTTAACAGAACACTTTTGAATATGGTCGGAACTCTTTCAGAACCACAGAAACAGAGATGGAAAGATCACGTGCCTTATTTAATTTCTATATATAATTCTACTAAACACGAATCAATTTCTTTTTCACCTTGTTATTTGATGTTTGGTAGAAAACCTCGGGTACCTGTTGATATATTTTTGGGGAGACCTCTCCATGGCTTGCTTCTTAACTTCAAAATAAATTTAAAGCTGCGAACAGTATTGCTACAGAAAATATTCAGACAACACAACAGAAACAGTAACTTTGTTATGATGTGAAAATCCGAGGTGCTAATCTCCATATTGGTGATGTTGTTTTAATTCGTAATGTACGTCAATACATCAGGGGTAAAAAATAAACTTGCAGATCAATGGGAGAATGATTGTTATACAGTGTTTTTTTTCACAACCAGATCTTAATATTCCAGTTTTTATAATTCAAAAGGCTGACACTTCATTAAGACGCACTCTGTGCATAAATCTTCTTCTTTCCATTAGTTCTTCTAGTCTATCTATTTCAGCCCCACGTTGTTTTGCTTAATGTTTCCACGGACACTATTTCTAATGCAGATAATGTATCTGTCATGCCGATTAATGCAGCTCAAGACTTCGGATAACCATGATAGTCCTGTTGTTGATGATAATGATAATAATTCAAATGTTACTATTTCATCCGATTCCTCTGTGTTACTTGATATTTTTGTTCCGGATATAACTACTCCGGTATTCCGGATATTACTGTCACTAATGATTCAATTTCTCAATTCGATCATAATTATTTCCTCGGATAGACGTCAACGTAAACCACCTGATTGGATGCAATCTGGCGTTTGGGTTTTAGAGAATCCTGTTTGGATTTGATTTTCATTGGTTGTATCTACTATTAAAACGATTTTCTATTTATGTTTTATTTGTTAGGCTATAAATTTCATTATTAGTTGCTTACAGTTTTTACTTGATGACAACTTGGATTCGTTCATGTGGATTCAGGTCTGTTATAGCTAGCGGGGGGGAAGTTTCCATTGGACGCAATATAGTAGCAAACGACCAAAGTGCCCATATCAGCATGAGCTCCCCATAAAGCCGAGTGACATTGGTTGGGCGCCAGATAAATGTCATTTTTATGGGCGCCTCGCCAATCATGTCGTTTCCAGATAAAATTCTCGATGGGGATGAGATTGATTCAAGCCCGCACCAGGCGTAATAATCTTCAAAATTCAAACAAATCGCACTCTAACCAGATTCCGAAATTTTCATTTTTCTCATATATTATTATAGGTACGCTATTTAGTCATATTCCTTACTTTAAATTTTTATAATGTTTATGTCAAAATATCACAATACGCCAATATCGCCAATTCAGTCTCAAAATTGAAAGTTTCCAAAATTTTCTTGGGGGAGAGCAACCGTGGACCGTCAAGTGTAGGTACATCGACGTCCCCATTCAGAAGCCCAATCCGCTTCCTCAGAAGCCGTTGCCCCCCCCCCCCACCACCCAACACCAACATTTTTGGGCTAGTTACGGGCCTGGGATTGGTTCATTATTTTTATTATATTTGTTTTTATCATGGTGTACCGTAGACTGTTTAGGTTTATTCTTGTCGGAAAGTCACTCCTTGTGCTGGGGTTATTGTGTACTGTGTATTATATAGGTTTGTCAGTTCTCGTGTATAAAAGGTGTTTTTATCCAGGATGATTTGCATTCAATCAGATTTTCATTTTAACGTCCATCTAATTCAAATTGGTTACCCTAATCAACGAATTTATCGACACCGATTTCCGAAACGATTTCATCAAATCACCAAATCACTTCAGGGTGTCCGCGTGTTTGTTTTTTTTTCAACTGTGTACTTCAGCCACAAGAATTGGTTACCCTAATCGGAGCATTTATTGAACTCGCCAAAATACTTTGAAATCGACTATATTGTCACATGGCATCTCTACTAAATTCAAATCTTTTTGGCATGTCGTTCAAAAAGCCTTTAGTTTTAAGGGGGGTTGGATGGCTTAGTGGCTAGCACGTGCGCGCTGTATCATTAAGCCTGTCATTGAGTCAACTGGCGTGGTTTAGAATCCCCGGTTGTACGTGACAAGGAGTAGGGTCGCCTGTCCAACCTCGTGGGTTTTCTCCAGGTCCTCCGGTTTCCTCCCACTGCTAAAGACCCCTACGCGCAAGCGAATTGCGGAAATAAAATTGAACCATATGTTAGTCCCGAAATGACATAGTCTGTGTCGAGTGGACGTTAAACCCCATTTCTCTCTCTCTCTCTTTAGTTTTAAGAAGTAGTCTCTTTCATCTTGTGTATGATTTCAGTTTATTTAGTCATTCAGTTAAAGAACTTTAAATAGTCTTTTTCATCTAGACACTTCATATACTGATATAGTCATCTTCAGCCTCTACATGATTTGGAGTGAGTAGAATTCGGTAACTTAGTTACTACCCTAACATTGTTTCACATTTTTCTAAGTATCCATTTTGAAAGCATCAGTTGAGTTTCTCTGTCGTTGTTAAGGCACCGAATTCACTAACTCAGGTAGGTTTATATTTGTTTAACTTGACTTGACAATATTAAGTATAACAATTCCTAATTTAAATATTGTTTTATTCTTATATAAATTACAAATAAGGTAATGTGATAAGAAATACATATAAGTAATAATTCAAGTTATGTTTTAAAGGAGCTAAATCGCTAATATTT